GGTGATGTGATACACCCCTGGGACGTGCCAGTAGTGATGTGGAGAATATCAGATCAGGTCCTTTTCACCCTGACTTGCTGGGAACAATTAATAATTAATAGTGAAACCATCTGATAATATACAGTATGGATTAAGATTAATTTTTTTCATTGTAGACAGAAGAACATGAGGCTGGAGTGTATTAAAGGCTGAACTAAAATCAACAAAAAGCAGTCTAACCTATTATTGGACCAAAGTGGGACAAAATCAGAGCGAGGAAACACAGCCCGATTTTAAACAACGAATTCTGGACTAAATGGAGACTGTGACAGACCGACCAGATTTAGACTAAAAACCAACGTCTAAATGAAGTCTGGAGTTTGTTCTGAAAATTCCAAAGGAAATTTGAATATTTTATTGCAAAACTTCTGCAGTCATTGTGTTTATGTCTGAAAATAAACAGGGAGGAATACTGGGGCAAATAGAGGCAAAGTAAACGAGAACAAACAATAACTTCCCTCTATCTAAACATAACAGGTAAAAGCATAGGTCCCTTAAGAACCGGCCCTGGCCCCCGTTACGGCCCCTGGCCGAACCGAAGACACAATTCATTTTGAAAAGTGATATTTAATGCACGGATAAGGAAGCTGGAACTAATATGCCCCAAAGTTTCACAGGGAATCTTTAGAGCAGTGCAAGCTCACTTAGGATTCTGCTTCTGAATGCAGACAAAACAGAAGTTATAGTCTTTGGACCAGAGTCTCTGAAAAAGAAGCTGATTAGCCAGTCACTTCATTTGGATGGGATTAAACTGATTTCAGATAATAAAGTAAAAAATCTTGGTGTTATTTTTGATCAGGACCTGTCATTTAAATCCCATATCAAAGAGATTTCTAGAATTTCCTTCTTTCATCTGAGGAACATTGCAAAAATGATAAATCTCCTGTCCAGGGGTGATGCTGAGAAACTAGTCCATGCATTTGTTACTTCAAGGCTGGACTATTGTAATGCTTTACTATCAGGAAGTCCACAAACTGTAGTTAAAAGCCTTCAGCTGATCCAAAATGCTGCAGCCAGAGTTCAAATGAAAATTAAAAAGAGAGATCATATCTCTTCTATCCTGACTTCTCTTCATTGGCTTCCTGTTAAATCCAGAATAGAATTTAAAATCCTCCTTCTCACATATAAAGCCTTAAATGGCCAAGCTCCATCTGATATCAGAGATCTGATTGTTCCTTATGTTGCTAACAGAGCACTTCTCTCTCAATCTGCAGGTTTACTAGTGGTTCCTAGAATTACTAAAAGTAGAATGGGAGGCAGATCTTTTAGTTATCAGGCTCCTCTCCTGTGGAACCAACTACCAGTTTTAGTCCGTGAGGCAGACACCCTGTCTACTTTTACGGCTAGGCTTAAAACTTTCCTTTTTCATAAAGCTTCTAGTTAGAGTGGCTCAGGTTATCCTGAGCTATCTCTATAGTTATGCTGCTATAGGCTTAGACTTTTGGAGGACATCGGGACCCCCATTTCATCATTCTGCTTCATTCTCTCTCTATTCTCCTATTCTGCAGAATCTGTTAGTTCAATCTCTAACCTTCTGCTCTCTCTGCTTTTCCTCAGAGTAGCTTTGCCTCGTTTGTTCCTGTTTGGCTGTGACGTCATCCTGGAAAGAAACATCAGCTGTGCTGCTTCCATCAACACCTTTGTTTATAGATGTTGGAGATCGGCCTGTTTTCCAGTGTGGTCCTGTTTCTCTGACCGTGACTGAGTGGATGTGCTCTCTTCATCCTCTGGCATGGGAGCTGGCTTGGAGCTCGTCTGCCTGGCTGTGTGTTTCCTGGACGGGGCCGCCTTTTACAGCTGCTTTTTGTGTCTCTGCTTCTGTCTCCTTGAACCCCAGTGGGCCTCAGCAGATGGCCGCTCACACTGAGCCTGGTTCTGCTGGAGGTTTCTTCCTGTTTAAAGGGAGTTTTTCCTCTCCACTGTCGCTACAAGCATGCTTAGTGTGAGGGATTGTATTTGAGTCAATGAGTCAATGCAATCAACTGGTTTTCCTAAGATAGAAAACTTTGTATCAATTTGACTGTATGATCTGGTTGAACTGTAAAGTGCCTTGAGATGACATGTGTTGTGAATTTGGCGCTAAATAAACTGAATTGAAAATTGATTGTCTGAACAAGAACGAAGAAGGATAATGTTTATATAAGAGTCAGATGACTTACGGAAAATAGTGTAAAGAGACGGAGCTAAGCAAGAAATATGCATGTTTCTTGATGCACTGTTTGGGTCATCCTCGAGTGATACTGTCGTTTTAAACGCTGTTGCACTCCCAGTGATTTCTGCCACTTCTGTTTTTCCAAACTAAACTTAGTTTAGGGATCCCAAGCATTGATTCCAGAAGGTCTAAGGCTTTGGACCTTAATGCATTCGTGGACCATTTTGCAAGAAACAATAAACGCAGAATAACATTAATGTTACAGGAATTGGTCTTGCCACTGAGAAACCTGAGAAACTGCTGAACTGAAAATTGGACTGTAGGCTATGTGTGGTGCTATAAAACTCCATGTACAACAACATAAACATATAACTAAACAGCTAACTAATACAATCTTATTACATCCAAATGAAAGAAATGTTAGTGTACAAAATCTGTTTATGAAGTTTTATTGTTCTGATGAGCAGTAGGTGAAATATTTTGAATGGAGAGAATTTTTGTTTCAATGGTGCTCTAAATAAACAAAAATGCCGTGAAAAAAATGGTGGTGTCCTTTTTTCATTCTTGTTTCTGTGGCCCCCCTTGAAACGTTTTCCTAGAACCGGCCCTGGGTAAAAGTCTGATTGATGAACAAAACAGACCAGGACTACAGAGTGGAGGTGGAGCAGCTGGTGCAGAGATAACAGCCTGATCCTGCATGTGGAAAAGACGAAGAAGAACATGTTGAACTTCAGGAAGAACCGCCCTAACCACCCTCCACTGCAGACCCGGCTGCAGAAAGAAATTAAAGAGGGGGCGTTCCATTTTTTTTCACACTTTTCTGCAAACATTTGTTTTACTTCGAGATTAACATTGGCTTTGAGAACATTCAATCAGTTAAAGAAATCTCCAATCTCTATAAAAACATTTATTTGAATGATTGAAACATTTTCTAGAATAATTAGCTGAATTAGAAATCAGCTTTTATTTGATTGTTTGTGTTGTTAGAAAAATTTTTTTCCTGACAGGGTTTTCTGATGATCTAATGTCTCCCCCAGCGGTTGGTAGAAACTAGACTTACTACAATCATTCAGAAACTGGATACATGTTAGATATGTATTTAGGTCGAAAACATTAATAGAACCATGATTTTAGGTACAATTAGGTCCAGAGAAAGTAAAAAAGATCCACAAAATATAAAAATAAACAATCAGTTAATTAACGTTGATATTTCCTTATTTGTGTGAATTCGCCTTTCCTTATCCCTCCACATGGCACCATGCTTGATTAATTCTTTTCCAGCTTCCACTGCATGTTTCCAGTCCTGGAAACCAGTTACACAGAACGTTGCATCACCGTATCTGGGTCCCTGAAACATTCTACATGGGTAGCAGTATGCAGCATCTGCCTGTACTGAATACTCGACCAGGTCAAACTTTAATAACATGAACTGCAGAATGATCTTTTCTTCCCTGAGAAAAGTCGTGAAGGAAAGCTCTGCATCAGTGGTCTTTGGGGCTTTTCTGTGCCAAGGTCATTAGCAATAGGCTGAAATTGTCTGTTGTGGGTCCTCACACAAGTGTAATGTCACCATGAACTCCGGTGCTATTTGTGTTATTATTCTGCTCCTTAGCTGCTGGAGCTAACCATCCTAGCATGAATGTTTACTTCAGTCCTGGCTGTCGTGCTTACATTTCCAACAGAAACTGCTCCCTGGTCACTCTCATTTGCTCCATTGTCAGTACTTGTCCTTCTATTGCTTTGAAAATGCTACTTTGAAAGCCTGAATATCCCTACCGACGCGCACTGGATGGTGACCAGACGGATGTAAACAAAGTATGAAAGTATGACTCATTGACCCCCCCTGTAGTTTGACTGGATGTTGTATTTTGTTGTCGATTTGATTGTTTATGGTTGACAAACTGAGAGACAAATAATAGAATGCTGGCTACACTGATTTAAGAAAGGAAAACAAAAAAAACAAGAAACAACTTCCAATTTGGGGCGGGCACGGGCGCCTCCATGGTCGGGCGCAGCCCCCCAATGCCCGCCCATGCCGCCTGGCCTGCTCCACTGCTCATCAACAGCTCAGCTGTAGAGGTGGTCAACAGCACCAAATTCATCACAGACACCCTCACCTGGACTGGAAACACCACCTCACAGGTCAAAAGGGCACAGAAGTGCATGTACTTCCTGCGGGGGATGAGGAGAGCCCACCTGCCCCCCCCCCATCCTCCCCACCTTCTGCAGAAGCTCCATAGAGAGCGTTCTGAGCAGCTGTCTCACTGTGTGGTGTGGAGGCTGCAGCGCCTCAGACTGGAAGAAGCTGAGAACAGCAGAGAGGATCATGGGGGCTCCTCTTCCCTCCATTAAAGACATTTCATTCCAGCGCTGCGTGTCCCGAGCCCGTGACATCATCAATGACCCCTCACCCCCCCACCATGGACTGTTCTCCCTGCTGCCCTCTGGGAAGAGGCTTCGAAGCATTCAATGTAGGACCAGCAGGTTCTGAAACAGCTTCTTCCCCACTGCCATCAGACTGCTGAATGTTATATAAAATGGGTTATAGAAAAACAAAACTGAATGTTGGAACTGTAACTAGACAGTTGTATGTTTACATGAGTTTTTTTTAACACAGTGTTTATATTACTGTTGCTTACTTTTATCAAGCCTGCACTTTAAAAAATGAAAAAGACCTAGAGAGCTGTACTTAACGAAATGTCTTTTTGTTTACACTTGTGCGATAAAAAATGACAGAAGAAACTCCTTAGTTTCTCAGGGTGTCGTCCCCCTTCATACCAGCTGGGGGCGGTAGAGAGCTGTACTTTTACACCGGAAGAAGAAAGCTACATGGCGCCTGCTCACTGCTCCGTTGAACTCCTCTCACTTTGATGGCTGGGATGAAGCTTCTCCTGCTCACCCTCTATGAATACTCTCCTCTCTTCCACATCGTGGTGGTTTCTCTCTGTTTCCTCCTCACCGCCGCCATCGTGCTGGGCTGGTAAGCCTCCCTGTTAGGATGTGAGCTGCTCACCATTCCAGCTGATCCTCACTTGGATGTCACTTTACAGACCAGATTTAGTCTCTACCTCAGAGATTCTTTTAACATCAAATAAAAATCAGGCGGTCTGTAACTAGTTATGGTGGAACAGAGACCATTAGTCCTCCTATTCACTGGATAGGTTTGGATTAAATGCATCTAACAGTCCAAACACAGATGGGCTTCTACCTGTGCTGCTTTATTTACCAAGCAGCAGCAATCAGAGTGCTTATTTTGTTTCCTATAGCACCAGTTCCCATCAGGTTATTAGTGGTGATAATGAGGGATGATGATCTCTGTTAGATTTACTGATCTGAACCTTGGATTGATCCTAATCTTCTCTGTCAATGAAGCATACTGGCTACTCTGGCTGGCTCAGACTCCTTTGATTTTAAAGACTCACTTTAATCTCTGCTTTCTATCAGTTTTCTGTAGAAATGAAGCTGCTGCAGTTTGTTGTGAAACCAATAATTCAGTTTATTTCTATAGCGCCAATTCACAACACATGTCATATCAAAGCTCTTTCCAGTTCACCAGATCATCAGTCAGATTGATTCAAATTTTTCTATCTAAGGAAAACCAGCTGATTGCATTGACTCATTGACTCTTCAGCAATCCCTCACACTAAGCATCCTTGTAGCGACAGTGGAGAGGAAAAACTCCCTTTAAACAGGAAGAAACCTCCAGCAGAACCAGGCTCAGTGTGAGCGGCCATCTGCTGAGGCCCACTGGGGTTCAAGGAGACAGAAACAGACATAGAAAAAGAAGCATAGATACAAAAGGCAACTGTAAAAGGCTGCATCATCCAGGAAACACACAGCCAGGCAGACGAGCTCCGAGCCAGCTCCCATGCCAGAGGATGAAGAAAGCACATCCAGTTAGTCACAGTCAGAGAAACAGGACTACACTGAAAAACAGGCCGATCTCCAACATCAGCAGCACAGCTGATATTTCTATCCAGGATGGAGTCACAGCCAAACAGGAACAGACCAGATGAAGCTACTCTGAGAAAAAGCAGAGAGAGCAGAACGTTAGAGATTGCCTCAAATAAAACGGATCATCTTAATCTGTTGGCTCAACATGTATATATATATATATATTTTTTTTTATTATTTAGTATATGCAACTAGGCCTACAATGATATATATGTATGTCAATGAGCCCAACTCAGTTTAGGGGCTCTGTGATTGATTGATTGATTGATTGATTGATTGATCTCACAGTGGAGAAATTTACTCATTCCATCAGCTCAAATAGTCAAAGAAGAAGAAGAATGTTTCAGATGAAAAAAAGGGTTAATGGATATATACAGTATATGCAGTTTGTCCACATATGACAGTTTATTTATTTTTTTTTTTTTACGGTAGGATCGTTATTCAGGGTTAGTGCACAGGGTGTTTTGCCCCTCCCCTTTGACAAGCTTGGGCCCCAGAAGAACAAGAAGAACAAATCTTGTGACTATTATGGGATGCTGAAAGCTGCATAGTAGCCATCTGTTTTCTCTGCCTCACAGGTTTGGCTTCGATGTCCCAGTGATGCTTCTCAGCTCTGATGAGACGGAGCCAGTCACTCCAACCCCTGAGAGGCCGATGGTACAGGAGACCAATCCGTTTTCTCTGGCACTGGGCTCGGGGCCCGCAAGTGTCAGTGGTGAGTCTATAAACCAGGAGGGACAGATGATGATGCAAATGAAAGAAATGTTCATGGCATTTCAACTCCATTCTTTTTACTCTATCTCGCTGTTTTTTTGTCTAATTTGTAATAAATCTATCATGTCCATATCTATGTACAGTAGCTGAGTTTGCAGCAAAAAGGTCCTGGTCTGATTCCCAGCCTGGACATGAAATCAGCTAAAGTTTCAGAAAGGTCCTGCAGACCGGAGAGCTAAAAGCTAGAAATAGATATAACTTTTTTTCCCAAGGAATTAGGTTTGGTGATAATCTATACGTAGAACAATGTACGGCTGACTTAAATAATTGTTAAAAGCCTTTGAAGAGGAAAAAAACAAAACAAACTGCAAGTAGTTTAATAAGGAGGAGGAGAGGAATGGAAAGAGAAATACTCCAACATGTTGCAAAGAAAGAGCACCATGGCAGATGAGAAAAAATACAATAACAAAAAATGAAAGTAACTGACATAATATTGACAGCTTGCCTTAATTGGCATTAAAATTAATTAAATGTGATTATCATGACATTTAAAATGCTTTATAAAAAAAACAAAAATTTTGTCAAATATATCAGATTTAACTGGTTCCACGTGTTCCATGCGTGGAACTGCTCCTGGTTGATCTTAAAGCCATATGTTTCGGAAAAGAAGCTTGAGGCACAGAAAAAGCTAGAGAATGGGAAAATGCAAATTTTAACATAAGTGGCTGGAAAACTAGAAATTCGGGACATGGCTGCAGCCTTTCGATGGTAAAGATTACAAAGGATTTGGCCGTGTCTTATTTTTATATAGATTTTTTTACATCAAACTTTGCTTTCATCAAAGAATCCTCCATTTGCAGCAATTCCAGCATTGCAGACCTTTGGCATTCTAGCTGTTAATTTGTTGAGGTAATCTGGAGAAATTGCACCCCACGCTTCCAGAAGCAGCTCCCACAAGTTGGATTGGTTGGATGGGCACTTCTTGCCTACTATACGGTCAAGCTCCTCCCACAACAGCTCAATGAGGTTCAGATCTGGTGACTACGCTGGCCACTCCATTACCCATAGAATACCAGCTGCCTGCTTCTACTCTAAATAGTTTTTGCACAATTTGGAGGTGTGTTTAGGGTCATTGTCCTGTTGTAGGATGAAATTGGCTCCAATCAAGCGCTGTCCACTGGGTATGGCATGGCATTACAAAATGGAGTGATAGCCTTTCTTATTCAGAATCCCTTTTACCCTGTTCAAATCTCCCACCTTACCAGCACCAAAGCAACCCCAGACCATCACATTACCTCCACCATGCTTAACAGATGGCGTCAGGCATTCTTCCAGCATCTTTTCATTTGTTCTGCGTCTCACAAACGTTCTTTGTGATCCAAACACCTCAAACTTGGAATCATCCGTCCACAACACTGTTTTCCAGTCTTCCTCTGTCCAATGTCTGTGTTCTTTTGCCCATCTTAATCTTTTTCTTTTGGCCAGTCTCAGATATGGCTTTTTCTTTGCCACTCTGCCCTGAAGCCCAGAATCCCAGAATCCCGCAGCCGCCTCTTCACTGTAGATGTTGACACTGGTGTTTAGCGGGTACTATTTAATGAAGATGCCAGTTGGGGACCTGTGAGGCGTCTGTTTCTCAAACTAGAGACTCTAATGTACTCTTGCTCAGTTGTGCAACGCGGCCTCCCACTTCTTTTTCTACTCTGGTTAGAGCCTGTTTGTGCTGTCCTCTGAATGGAGTAGTACACACTGTTGTAGGTAATCTTCAATTTCTTAGCAATTTCTCATATGCAATAGTCTTCATTTCTAAGAACAAGAATAGACTGTAGAGTTTCAGATGAAAGTTCTCTTTTTCTGGACATTTTATGCGTTTAATTGACCCCACAAATGTGATGCTCCAGAAACTCAATCTACTCAAAGGAAGGTCAGTTTTGTAGCTTCTGTAACGAGCTAAACTGTTTTCAGATGTGTGACCATGATTGCACAAGGGTTTTCTAATCATCAATTAGCCTTCTGAGCCAATGAGCAAACACATTGTACCATTAGAACACTGGAGTGATATTGCTGGAAATGGGCCTCTATACACCTATGGAGATATTGCACCAAAAACCAGACATTTGCAGCTAGAATAGTCATTTACCACATTAGCAATGTATAGAGTGTATTTCTTTAAAGTTAAGACTAGTTTAAAGTTATCTTCATTGAAAAGTACAGCGCTTTACCTTCAAAAATAAGGACATTTCAATGTGACCCCAAACTTTTGAACGGTAGTGAGTATACTCTATATATATATACATATATATATGTATGTATGATAAAATCTTTTTTGTTTTTTTGTGTAAAATGTATTAGAAGAGAAAAATCATGTAAGGTTCACTGTTTTTAGTGAAATAAGCTCAAGAAGACTGTGAAAGTGTTTGTGCAAATTGGGCAATGAAACTGTAGGGTTGGAAGTTATTTGTTTAACCAGTCGTTTGTTTTAACCAGCCAATCAAATTTAGCAGTTTTTACCCAATTTATTTTAGTAAATAAACAAATCAATACACATTGGCCAAAATGCTTGTTTTTTTTTTTTGAGAATTATCACAGCTTTCAAAAGTTTAAGGTGGGTCTCGAACTAACAACCTTAGGAATGGATGATAATGTCTTACAGCTAAGGCCACTAGCAATAGTAACTGCATATTAGAAAGCAGTTATAATTAATACCAATGTCGCAACTGTTACCAGCGGCTTCCTCAAATTCTGATCATTACATTGTTTAATCTAACCAAACTAGTTTTAACCAACTAGATTGGTTGTTTTTCCAACCAATCTAGTCTTAGAATCTATCCAAACTCTATACAACTGACAGCAGCTCTCCTACAAACTCCTACATCTTGACTGAATACTGAGACTTTTAAGGGCCTGAAAAAGTTCCCTGATCTGAAATAAAGAATTAAGCCTCTAAAAACTAATTCTCTTCGCCCAGACAAAATGACCCGTTAAGGGTAAATTAGGAAGATTCTTAATTCGTGTCACGGTGGGGGAAGGTGGACTGTGGTCTGGTTCCTTTGAACGCAGTGGTACTGGTGAAGGTTTGACTCCAGCAGGGCCCTGGATCTTATGCTCACCTCGGCCACTCAGGAAACTCACTGTCAGGCCAGTAAACAGGACCACAGACTCGTGTCACAAGAGCGACATCACGGTTGCAGCTTAGCTCGGCTCAGCGGGGGTCCTGCTCACTCACAGGAGGTGACCCAGAATAGTTCATGGATCAGAAGCAGGTCTAGTCAGAATAGAACCGGGACTCATTGTTCCGGGACTTTAAAAATAAAGCAGAAATCTTGTCTTCCATCAAAGCTCTCCAGCTGCCAAGGAGTACAGTTACACAGCGCTGTGAAGCCATGGCTGAGGACTTAACGCAACAAATGTGGAAGGACTGCAATAACAATTATTTCCACAAAATAAAAGTATTACGAAAATAAAAAATGATTTTCGTCAACGAGACTAGGACTAGACAAAATTTACACACCATGGATGAATGGACATTAAGAAATGTAATTGTTTATAATGAATTTGTAAATGTTCATATAAGTGTTTCTTGAGCTTCATAGAAGATTCCGCATTGTTGAGCTGTTTGTCCCTACAGAGCGCCTGTCCCACAGTGCTTTGCGCCGGTCGGTCAGTAGTAGCAGACCAGTCACTGCGTGGGGCTCTGATACCGGTTCGAGGAGCTGGTGGAACTACTACACCAGGTCTTCAACCTTAGCCTGCAGCTAAGGAGAGTGCCTAGCCTATGGAAGACATCCTGTATCACACCGGTTCCCAAAAAAATCCCAGCCCAGTGAGCTGAATGGTTTCCAGCCTGTGGCACTCACTTCACATCTGATGAAGATGATGAAGCCAATCTTCCTCAATTTCCCCAGACCTTAAGTACCACACGCCCTGGACTGCCGGCTGTTTGCATATCAGCCAGGTGTAGAGTGGAGGATGCCATCCTCTACCTAGTGGGAGTCCACTCCCACCTGGATAAGGGAAGTGCCACAGCTAGGATTCTCTTCCTGGACTTCTCAAGTGCAGCATCCAGCCCTCCCTGCTCAGAGACAAACTGAATAGCATGGGAGCCGACCCCTGTCTGGTGGCCTAGATCCCCAGCTATCTCACAGACAGGCAACAGTATGTCAGGCTGAAAGACACCATCTCTGAAACACTGGTCAGCAGCCCCCGACGGCACAGTATTGGCCCCTGTCCTCCTCACCTTATACACCTCAGACTTCTGTTACATCTCTGAGCTGTGTCACATACAGAAGTATGCAGATTACACAGCCATTGTGGGGGTGTAACAGGGAGGAATAGGACAGGAGTCTGATGGGGGACTTGGCCACCTGGTGCCGTACCAACCATCTGGAGCTCAACATCTCTAAGATGGAGGAACTGGTCATAGACTTTGGGAGGAATGGACCAAAGACTAAGCCGCTACTACTGGAGGGGGCTGAGGTGGAGGCTGTGGATTCATACAAATACCTTGGGGTGTGGCTGGATAATAAACTGGACTGGCTAGCAAACACCAACCACCTGCACAGGAAGAGAGAGAGTAGGATGTATTTTCTGTGGAGACTGAAGTTGTTCAGCATCTGTAATAAGCTGCTGGAGATGTTCTACCAGTCTGTGGTTGCCAGTGTCCTCTTCTTCACCCTGGTGTGCTGGGAGAGTAGCAGATCCATGAAGGACACCTCCAGACTGGACAAACTGGTGAGGCCAGCCATTTGTGTGATTGGCAAGTAGCTGGACCCTCTGGAGATGGTAGTAGAGACAAGGACACTTAAACTGCTGGACATTATGAACAATGCCAGCCACCCTCTGCACAGTCTTCACCACTCAGAGGAGCCTGATCAGTGGGAGATTGCTCCTCCCCAAATGCAGGACCAACAGACTGCTGAGCTCCTTTGTTCCCCAGCTATCAAGCTGTACAACTCCTCACTTGGGGGAAGGAGGAGGTGATATGAAGCACCCTCCTTCCCTGGACATCTTATGCAAATCATTACCTATTGTCACTCATGTGCAATATTCTTCTCTCTCAATGTACAATAACACATGCCAACTACTGTGTCACCTGTTTAATATTTTACTTATTTATAAGGTTAGTACATCTCTGCAGTACAAGTGCAATAACCCAAGTCAGCTACTGTGTAATCTTCCCTTAGCTCTCTACTGTGCAAATATTTGTATATCTAAGGGAAACATATTCCAGGACATTACAACTTTTTTCTTTTTGTATGTTTTTTTTGTACCGTACTATATACACTCTTTTTATATTGTTTGTCGTATTGTTTATCTTTAATGGCACCTTGGTTTAACCCTTTGTATTCTATACAAGCTACTGGAACCAGAACTTTCCTGGTTCTATCCCAAGGGATAAATAAAGTTGATTCTAACTCTAATTATTACACACCACTTTTAAGAGGGGTTGTCTGTGTTGTAAAAAGGTTATAAATCAGGCTGTTAAACATCTTAAATGTTTGTTCCTAGAATCCTAATCTAGATCACTGAGATGCAACACCAGCATAACGTTTAATAAAAATCAGACTTGCATTAATCCTTCAGTTGCTTCCTCTCCTTGTATAGAACATCCATTTATCCAATGTCCTTTGTAGCATTAACTTCAGCATGCAATCCTTTGTAGATGGTGTGTCACTGAAACTGGGCTGTCTGGGGCCATGTGTTCTTAGCTGTTTCTGGGGCTGTGAAGTCAGTGCTCTACAGCGGGCTCTACATAACCATCAACAAAACCTGAAGCTCACCTGTCCACAACACTTCCTTGAGGCCCTGCACCTACACTTCCACTACCATCAAATGTTCCGGTATCCTTTAAAAATAAAAAGATAAAGGGACGGAAATGCATTTGTTGGAGGTAACTTATGGGTATGTAATTTGTTGCAGTATGGTTTGGACCTTAACAACAAAGAGCGGTCAAACAAACTTCCATCAGGATTAATCATAAAGTTATGTGATAGCTTGAATCAATCAGTGTGATTAATGCAGCCATGCTAAAAGTACTGTGAGAGTACCAAAACTTACACAGCTACCAAAAATGGAAAAACTCCCAATATTCATTTTGCGAAATATAAAACAAGAATTTTCATCCCTGAACTTTATTAGATCAAACATAAATGTACCATTTTATTCTAGAAAGCTATAGACACAATAACTTTGTTTTGTGTATTAGATGAATGTTGACTGAGATATTACTTACTGAGATTACTGAGATATTGCTTTCTCCTTTGCTTCTGCCTGTGACTCCTTTGACTTTATGCTGCCAGTATCAGCAGAGGAGATGAACACGAATGTCACACTTGCATCCCTCATGACCAGAGTATTACAGATTTTGGGCCTCTGCCAAGGAAACACTATCCCCTCGTGGCTGTACTGACTCTGGCAGAAACAGAGGCCAGGAACCTTTACAATATTGTGAGTTGCTTTTATTATTCTGTTATTATTAAATGTAATAAGCAGCACTTTTAAGGAAATAACTGGCTTTGGCACCATTATGTTCAGATGCCAGCAGATTTCCTGTGACACAGCTAACTGCTCTGTTCTCTTCCAGGTGGCAAGTGTGATCGTTATTCACATACCTGATGACATTTACAGACTTTCTGCACGAATTCTCTTTCAATATCTTCTCACATCACAAGGAGATGTGCATGAATTAAAAGTATGTCACATTTCACCTTGAAGTTTCCTGTTAACCAGAACAAGCTCCATGCTCTATCTACACAGAGTTCTTAGATAATAGGGCTTAAATGATCACTTTGTTGTCTTCTGGCTAGTCAATAATAGATCATGATTCACTTTCTTTCCATAGCACAGTGGTCCCTAACTGGTATGCAAAGAATAAATGATTATTTTTATTTACAATCTGAATCTGAATGAGGTTTTATTTTTTAAGGAGGTATTCTCCCCGTACGTCCATCTTTGTATCGACACATGTCCTGGTCACATGGTTTGTTGTTGCTAATATTAAATTCACAAGCCAGCAGAATAATCAAAGAAAGCGGAAGTGAAATGAGAGAGTAAAGAGGTCCCCATGTCTTCCAGCAGTCTAAGCCTATAGAAGTAGAACTATAGAGATAGCTCAGGATAACTTGAACCTCACTAACTATAAGCTTTATCAAAAAGGAAAGTTTAAAGCCTAGACTTAGGCATGGAAACGCTCTTTCCGTCCACACTAGGTCCACACTGAATGAGCAAAATTGGCACTGGGGGAATGCACATACTATCTTGGCTGTGCAGTTACACAAAGAGTTGGCTGCCTGTTTGAAACAATGGGTACTGACACCCATTGTTTCAATTAATTAGTTAATTAGTTTCAATAAAAATAAACAGCCAGATCTTTAAGATTGTGGGCTCTTTAAGCAAATCAAAACAAAAATAATTTTAGAGTAAAGATGGTATCAGCAGTTTGATTAATTGATCAGTTGTTGGTCTGGTCCAGTATCATTTGATCTATTATCATCAGGCCAAGTATCACCTGGTTTACTATAATATGGCCCAGTACCATTTGGCCCACTATTATCTGGTTTATTGTAATATGGCCCAGTACCATCTGGTCTATTATCATCTGGCCCAGTATAATCTGGTCTATTATCATCTGGCCCAGTATAATCTGGTCTATTATCATCTGGCCCAGTATCATCTGGTCTATTATCATCTGGCCCAGTATAATCTGGTCTATTACATATAGTATTGTTGGAAGCAACACTGAGCATTGCACAGTTTGGAGGTCAAAGAGACGGCAAATAAAAAGAATACTGCATGGCATGGAAATACACAACAAAAATAAAATGTGAACTTTTACTTTACCTGAACATAAAATATAAATGGTGGCTTTTTTAACAGGACGTTGAATGTTTGTGAACTGTTCTATTAGCTGGTTTTATTTGTCCTTGCATAGTGACTCTCCATCTTGAAACATCTCTATAGGAGAGTAATATCTTCAGGTGGTCATTTTTTTATTTTTTTTTTGCACTCTAACAAGTTACTCTTTTTGACTGCAGCCTCTCTTCATGTCAGCTGAGACGTCTGGGCCTCCTGATTTGGAGAGGAGCTGCCAGCCAGAAGAAACCCAGATGGAGGGAGATCCTTTGAGAGAAGAGACAGACTGGTCAGAGCATATTGGCAGGAACTGTGTAGTATGTCAGAATGCAGCAGTGAACAGGGTGCTTCTGCCCTGCAGGCATGCCTGTGTGTGTGACAGCTGTATGCTGCACTTTCAACACTGTCCCATTTGCAGGGCCTTTGTCATGGAGTCATTTGCACTTAGAGCAACACGGACATGATGGCTGCTGGCTTGTCGATAGGGGGCACTGGGGTGACATCCATGGTGGAAAATGTGTAGAGTTAGTAGATCACCACAACTATTCTTTTAAAATTCTATGTGCACAAGGACAATTTCTAATTTGTCAGGATTTCTGTTTCAGTTTTTGTTTATTGGCGCTTCATTTTTATGTAGGTTTAGAAACATGTTTTTAGTGAGCATGTATCTATGTTTTAGTTCCTAAGCTTCCATGTGTCTACCTGCTGGTTTTTGATTGGCTACTCTTGTTTCATTATTTTAATTTGATTTTAAATATGTATTAAATATTATGATGAAAATAATTATGCATTTCTCTAAAAGGATGAATATTGGTAACACTGGTCTTTAGACGATTGAACCATTGATCAAACCTTTGTTCAGTTCCAGCAGTCAAACCAGCAGCAGGTAGAGAAAAATAAAAAATTTGGTTCAGTTTAGAATGTGGAAACTAAAATGTGACACACAGCTTGTCAAAGTAGTAAGTGCTAGTGCTCAAAGACGATTGTTAGCATTCGTCCACCATGTCACTGGTGGACAAACAGTATTCCTTTGGAAATCCTCATCTTTTTTGCCCTTGGATAAAGCCTTCCTAAAGCCATTGTACAGAATTATGGCTTGGCAATTGGCTTTCTTCTTTGAAGGTTCATGTCCTCCAGCTGCCTAAATCTAGACCGCTGGAACATAGGACCACTATTCATCATTTGGACATGATTTTCAATTTTTTATTTTAACTTCAAACTGTTTTTTTTTTTTTTCCTGCTGTGCTTATCAATGTAGCTTCATCTGGCCTGGTTCTGTTTATCTATGACCCTATCCTGGGCAGAAGCCTGAACATCATCTGTTATAGATGATAGAGTCATCTGCTTAACGGTCTCTTTCCTAGACGGACCCACCTGTGGAGCTAGTTTACCTACTTTAACAGAGTATTTTTAGATCAGTGCTTGTGTTCCTCTTGAATGTCTGCTTCTGTCTCCTTGAACCTCAGTCGGCCTCAGCAGATGGCCGCTCACACTAAGCCTGGTTCTGCTGGAGGTTACAGGCGGTGGCCCCCTCCTGACCGCTCCAGCCTCTGGAACAGGCGGTGGCCCCCTCCTGACCGCTCCAGCCACTGGAACAGACGGTGGCCCCCTCCTGACCGCTCCAGCCTCTGGAACAGGCGGTGGCCCCCTCCTGACCGCTCCAGCCTCTGGAACAGGCGGTGGCCCCCTCCTGACCGCTCCAGCCTCTGGAACAGGCGGTGGCCCCCTCCTGACCGCTCCAGCCTCTGGAACAGACGGTGGCCCCCTCCTGACCGCTCCAGCCTCTGGAACAGACGGTGGCCCCCTCCTGACCGCTCCAGCCTCTGGAACAGGCGGTGGCCCCCTCCTGACCGCTCCAGCCACTGGAACAGACGGTGGCCCCCTCCTGACCGCTCCAGCCTCTGGAACAGGCGGTGGCCCCCTCCTGACCGCTTCAGCCTCTGGAACAGACGGTGGCCCCCTCCTGACCGCTCCAGCCTCTGGAACAGACGGTGGCCCCCTCCTGACCGCTCCAGCCTCTGGAACAGGCGGTGGCCCCCTCCTGACCGCTTCAGCCTCTGGAACAGGCGGTGGCCCCCTCCTGACCGCTCCAGCCTCTGGAACAGACGGTGGCCCCCTCCTGACCGCTCCAGCCTCTGGAACAGGCGGTGGCCCCCTCCTGACCGCTCCAGCCTCTGGAACAGGCGGTGGCCCCCTCCTGACCGCTCCAGCCTCTGGAACAGGCTGTGGCCCCCTCCTGACCGCTCCAGCCTCTGGAACAGACGGTGGCCCCCTCCTGACCGCTTCAGCCTCTGGAACAGGCGGTGGCCCCCTCCTGACCGCTCCAGCCTCTGGAACAGACGGTGGCCCCCTCCTGACCGCTCCAGCCTCTGGAACAGGCGGTGGCCCCCTCCTGACCGCTCCAGCCTCTGGAACAGGCGGTGGCCCCCTCCTGACCGCTCCAGCCTCTGGAACAGGCTGTGGCCCCCTCCTGACCGCTCCAGCCTCTGGAACAGGCGGTGGCCCCCTCCTGACCGCTTCAGCCTCTGGAACAGACGGTGGCCCCCTCCTGACCGCTCCAGCCACTGGAACAGGCGGTGGCCCCCTCCTGACCGCTCCAGCCTCTGGAACAGGCGGTGGCCCCCTCCTGACCGCTCCAGCCACTGGAACAGGCGGTGGCCCCCTCCTGACCGCTCCAGCCTCTGGAACAGACGGTGGCCCCCTCCTGACCGCTCCAGCCTCTGGAACAGGCGGTGGCCCCCTCCTGACCGCTTCAGCCTCTGGAACAGACGGTGGCCCCCTCCTGACCGCTCCAGCCTCTGGAACAGACGGTGGCCCCCTCCTGACCGCTCCAGCCTGTTCCTCACTGTCAGCTTGATCAGGATATATCAGAGATCTAGCGTTTCTTTGCGTGTTGAGGCATCCTTTTTGTCCCCAACATTGTTCATCAGTTTGGAAATCCATTTCCAGCTGAGATCTGATGTGCTTTCTGTTTTTTTTGTACATAAACAAAAGTGTTTAAGTAGATGTATGCACTGTAATGTTTATCAGGACTGGAATCCTTATTGTTAATATCAAAGCTTGTTAATAAAGGTTACTCCTAATACTTTAAACGTTCGTTATATTGCCTGCTCCCTAGGTATTCTCTTAAGAACAGCAGCCATAGCATCCTTTAATAACAAAACTGCATGTGACCCCAGCCAAAATGGCTGCCTTCCCTTATAGCAGAGGCCAGGTGACCTGCTGGAGCTGAATATTTTCAAAATATACACATCAATGAACACACGCATCAGTACTTTTTTTTTTGTCGAAATTGTGAAAGTATTTGTTCTCTGGTGTTTTGTTATCATAAAGTTGGAGTGCTTGCGACTTTTAAAAACTTTTAAAAACCAGATAATTTAAGAGTCTCCCATGAACACCAAACTCTAACCCTTGTTGCTCCTCAGAATGTAGATCTGCAAAGCCATGTACATCCTGGTTCAAAATAATGATTCAACCAGTTAGTCTGTATTAATGGTGATAAGCTGCTAATACTAAATTACTTCTATACGCTCTGACAGAAACCATATCTGTTTGGCCACTCAGAACACCTTTAGCTAAAAAGTTTTGATGCGCTCTTGGAAGTTTTGACTGGATTTGATGAAACTTTTAAGCCTCAGTATACAGGTGCTGGTCATAAAATTAGAATATCATGAAAAAGTAGATTGATTTCAGTAATTCCATTTAAAAAGTGAAACTTGTATATTATATTCATACATTACATACAAGCTCATATATTTCAGATGTTTATTTTGTTTAATTTTGATGATTACAAATGACAACAAATGAAAATCTCAAATTCATCATATCAGAAAATTAGAATATTGTGAAAAGGTTCAAAATTGATGGCCCCTGGTGCCACACTCTAATCAGCTAATTAACTCAAACCACCTGCAAAAGCCTTTAAATGGTCTTTCAGTCTAGTTCTATAGGCTACACAATCATGGGGAAGACTGCTGACTTGACAGTTGTCCAAAAGACGACCATCGACACCTTGTACAAGGAGGGCAAGACACAAAAGGTCATCGCTAAAGAGGCTGGCTGTTCACAGAGCTCAGTGTCCAAGCACATTAATAGAGAGGCGAAGGGAAGGAAAAGATGTGGTCGAAAAAAGTGTACAAGCAAGAGAGATAACCGCACCCTGGAGAGGATTGTGAAACAAAACCCATTCAAAAATGTGGGGGAGATTCACAAAGAGTGGACTGCAGCTGGAGTGAGTGCTTCAAGAACCACCACACACAGACGTATGAAAGACATGGGTTTCTGCTGTCGCATTCCTTGTGTCAAGCCACTCTTGAACCACAGACAGCGTCAGAAGCGTCTTGCCTGGGCTAAAGAGAAACAGGACTGGACTGCTGGTGAGTGGTCCAAAGTCATGTTCTCTGATGAAAGTAAATTTTGCATTTCCTTTGGAAATCAAGGTCCCAGAGTCTGGAGGAAAAGAAGAGAGGCACTTCATCCACGTTGCTTGAAGTCCAGTGTAAAGTTTCCACAGTCAGTGATGGTTTGGGGTGCCATGTCATCTGCTGGTGTTGGTCCATTGTGTTTTCTGAGGTCCAAGGTCAACGCAGCCACATACCAGGAAGTTTTAGAGCACTTCATGCTTCCTGCAGCTGACCAACTTTTTGGAGATGCAGATTTCATTTTCCAACAGGACTTGGCACCTGCACACTGTGCCAAAGCTACCAGTACCTGGTTGAAGGACCATGGTATCCCTGTTCTTAATTGGCCAGCAAACTCTCCTGACCTTAACCCCATAGAAAATCTATGGGGTATTGTGAAGAAGAAGATGCAATACACCAGACCCAACAATTCAGAAGAGCTAAAAGCCACTATTAGAGCAACCTGGGCTATCATAACACCTGAGCAGTGCCACAGACTGATCGACTCCATGCCACGCCGCATTGCTGCAGTAATACAGGCCAAAGGAGGCCCAACTAAATACTGAGTGCTGTACATGCTCATACTTTTCATGTTCATACTTTTCAGTTGGCCAACATTTCTATAAATCCTTTGTTTTTATTGGTCTTCAGTAATATTCTAATTTTCTGATATGATGAATTTGAGATTTTCATTTGTTGTCATTTGTAATCATCAAAATTAAACAAAATAAACATCTGAAATATATGAGTTTGTATGTAATGTATGAATATAATATACAAGTTTCACTTTTTAAATGGAATTACTGAAATCAATCTACTTTTTCATGATATTCTAATTTTATGACCAGCACCTGTAAAATAAATATTTTGATGGAGGTGACAATGCTGCTTTATTATAGGTATAGTTTAATAGTTTGAATCCAATCATTTAAACTGCTTTGTTTTGGGGAATATATAAGATGCCCTAATTTGTAATTCTCAATCCATCGTTATATATATTTAAATTTTCTCTTGGTGCGATTGCAATGGTGGATCTTGACCTGGCCAGACCGAAGCAAAAAAAAGCTCTGCTCTGTATTTTGATGGTGATGGACGGAGAAAACGTACAGAGGAATAGTTGTGGATGAGGAACAGTTCTCATTGATTAACATGAGGGAGAACTCAAGAGCTCCGGTCGACGTATGTGAGCGGAGCCTTAGGATGTTGAACCTGGGGGTAACAAAGTACTCAGTCAACTTTGCAGAGGAGCACTCGCCTCCGTTTCGTTTTACGTTTTCAAGCATCCATGTTAGCTTTGAGATCTCCAGCACCATTATTAAGAGATTTAAACATGTGGTCCATCTTTGCACACAGTGCACTCAGCCTCCCACTTGTCGAGAAGGTATGTGCAAAGATTTGTTTCGCAGTTCATCTATGAAGTTGCACTTTCCTTTTGGCATTTTGTTTCCACTGCTGGTTGCTCTTTTCCCTTTGTGTGTCTCTCTAGACCGTCCCACAAGGCAGTCCCTCAAGAATTACTTTGAGCAACAAAGTACCATAGTATTCTGTGCAAAGCGCCAGTCGGTTATAGTCTGGGGGCAGAAACAATCAGATTAATCAAGAATAATCGATTATTGAAAGAATCGTCAACTAATTCAGTAATCGGTTAATCGTTAACTAGAGTATAGAGACTCTGAAACAGCTGACAGAGCGACCCACAGAGGCTTCGTTTACACCACAGCCTGAAATGACCCAAAGCAGATTTTTTTGCCCACGTACAACCTCAATCTGATCTTTTCATGGCAACACACAGATTTTTTTTCAATCCGACCCGGGCCACTTGGCTCTGTGGTCCTGAATCCCATATATGATCTTTTCAAATGCGACCTTTGTCTGAAAGGCCAGGTGGCATTCATCCTACCTCAAAGCCATTAGTAACCGACATAGGTCACTATTCTGCTTCTTGCTACACAGAAGCGGCAAGAAAAACAACAACAATGGCGGACAATGATGCGGAGAGCAGTAATTGTTTTAACTATCTAGAAAAGATTGAAGTTTTAAGGTTTGGAAACATCGCTGGAAACATCACAGAGTAGCTTTGCCTCGTCTGTTCCTGTTTGGCTGTGACGTCATCCTGGAAAGAAACGTCAGCTGTGCTGCTTCCATCAACACCCTTGTTTATAAATGTTGGAGATCGTCCTGTTTTCCAGTGTGGTCCTGTTTCTCTGACCGTGACTGAGTGGATGTGCTCTCTTCGTCCTCTGGCATGGGAGCTGGCTCGGAGCTCGTCTGCCTGGCTGTGTGTTTCCTGGATGGGGTCGCCTTTTACAGCTGCTTTTTGTGTCTCTGCTTCTGTCTCCTTGAACCCCAGTCAGCCTCGGCAGATGGCCGCTCACACTGAGCCTGGTTCTGCTGGAGGTTTCTTCCTGTTCAAAGGGAGTTTTTCCTCTCCACTGTCGCTACAAGCATGCTTAGTGTGAGGGGTTGTATTTGAGTCAATGCAATCAACTGGTTTTCCTAAGATAGAAAACTTTGTATCAATTTGACTGTATGATCTGGTTGAACTGTAAAGTGCCTTGAGCCGACATGTGTTGTGAATTTGGCGCTATATGAATAAACTGAATTGAATTGAATCACGAGCTCCAGCACTACCATCCATGTTTACTTCCATAAACACGAAGCATGCTGGTGGCCTGTGACGTCATTGCGTCCTCTAGTGCGAATCTTAAGCTCCTCCTACTAGAGTCCACTAAAGCCTTTGTGGGACACTTAAGATGTATGACTGCAGTTCACGCAGATCACAAACGCAAAGTCGCATATATTTGGAAATGTGAACAGCAACGCAAAAAAATCTGATTTCACAAATAAATTGGAAGTGAGCATTAAAAGGGGAACGCTGTTTTTCTTTTTCTTTTTTACATTGGGCCCTTGATTTTACACGGATGACGTCACACACACTCAGCTATGTTTTTAAAAAAAAATAAATATAAAATGTATAACGGCGGATGTCTGGGGGACAGTGATTTGCCTACATGTTCTGAATACCATAAAGAATAAATTATGAACAGTTTAGTTTGTGCCTTCAATTGTTGCCCACAGGAAGACGTTACTTGGATATAACCTAACGGAATATCTTCAGAACGGCTCCAAATGACACAAAACTCATATGGGTGAGTAGAACATGATGGAATAATGTAAAATCAAGGGGCCAATGTAAAAAAAAAATAAAAGTATTCCCCTTTAAGGCCTGCAATGTGAACGTAGCCTTAGAGCATTATATATATATAAAAAACATTTTGGATATAGGATACATTTTTTTTTTTGTCTGTCAATGATCTATCCAGAAATACATAAGTGGAAACATTTTAGTTTCACCTGGTTTACTTTAGGAACCTGTTGCTATCCAATTATTAATCGAAAACATTATCGACAGATTATTCAAATTGCAAAATAATCTTTAGTTGCAGTCCTAGTATAGTCCCATGAAAAACAGTGAAAACCGGACTTTTTTAAATTTGCTTCACCTAGTAAATTTGGTCTAGAACCATCACTGCCCATACACAGAACAAGTCTGTTCCTTCACATCAGATAAATGTGAGAAGGTTTGGAAAGGAGAAGAAAATGTAGTTTTATAGTTGAATACAAAGAGCTTTAATACAATAGGTGGTCCTCACAAAGACATTGAAACATGCCGATGGGTTTAGCAGCAAAGCTTTAGATCATAAAAATAGGGGCCTTAAGATTAGAAAGTTCCAGAGTTTTGTATTGGCAAATTCTAAAGAATTAAAGATCAGCTGAGGAGGTATAAACAAGCCGGTTTTATTTCTGAGTCATATTAGCATGCCACGTTCACTGAGTAACAACAAAGAAAGCAGAAGATTGAGATAAACATTGTTGATGAAAAAAACCCAGAAAGAGTTTAAACAGGTTTGTAATCCAGCTTGGACTCCAGCTTCTTTGAGTCAGCCACTTTACGGACAGCTTTCATGAAGTCTTCTTGAGTGACGTACTCCCGGTCAGAGCGGATCGCAAACAGTCCTGAAAAAAAACAGACAATTGGGCGTCAACCCCCTGATGAAGCAGCTGACTCAGCCGAGGGCGTCGGCCATGAATGTTACCTGCTTCAGTGCAGACGTTACGCAGGTCAGCTCCATTGAAACCATCAGACAGCTTCACGATGGCTTCAAAATCTGGGAACAAAAGACTCAAATCAAGACACAAGGACAGCGTTCAGACTGCCAAAGGGAACAAAAAAGAAAACAGTGAACAGATCAGACTCTACACCATTTGTTTAACTACAACCAATCACCTGTTTGGATTTTTAACCTTCTGTTTCTGTTTAAGGTAATTAACAACTTTTCTTTCCTAAATCCCTTAAAAAAAAAAAAGAGGCTTTGAAGTTTCTAAATCAAGTCAAAAATTTATTATTATTATTTTTTTTACTTTTACAGCACCATAAACACAGATGATGCCATTTCAATGTCAGTCAAAAATGTTTTACTCTTTCTCATAAAAGTCCTTCACTCCGTCTCCCCATGGCTGGTATTAATGAAAATAAGACTCATAAGCTTCTTTCCAACTGAAAATGGTGCATTAATTACAGGTGCTTGGCTCCAGGTACTTAGAGATTCACTTCCATACAGAAACCCCACATTCATATCTTCAGGTAACTCAGAGTACATGTCAGACTTAATAATATTACTTTAGCCATAGTTTTAAGGTGTTGCTTTATTGTATATCTCGTACCGTGTCTTTCGGTTGTGCTGTTCTTTTTTCATCTCGTTACAGGTGATGAAGCAGACTGAAAATGTTTTGTCATTATCTCCTTTCTGTCTCTTCTTTCTTTCATCTTTTATTTTTCTTTTTTCCTTTTCTTCTTCTGTTTTTCTGATCTATTTACATTGCAGTGTCCATATGAACTGTAAAACTCCCTGCATAATTATAATAAAATAATTTATATGCATGAAACAATTGTAGCTATATGGCAATTGCCATACTGCTACACTTGTGAAAGTAAAATCTGTTGGGCTATTTTTGGCATCAAGACAATTATTCTTATTGCCACATTGCCAGACGGGACACTGTAAAAAAAAAAAGAAAAAAAAAGAAAATGGTGCATTAACCAGGATTTTCAAACATGGCTGCACCCGCTAACAATCTGCATTTAGCTCCCCTCCCATGGGTAAAAAAGCTGCTCTAACCCCTGGCTGGCAGCTGCGTGGCCTCTGTCCCCGACCGCTGCATGTCTGGTGACATCACCACGCTGCGTTAGCGTTGATGATGTCACAGGGCGACAGAAATCAGGAAAATAAACAATTGAGAGCAACATGGAAGGAAGCCAGGCGTAGTCAGTGTGTTTTATTGTTTCGCTCTATTATCTGTCTGAATCCCTCTCACCAGAGCTGCTCCATGTTTATCCAATGGAACCAGAGTGTGCTGACGTTCGTACGTTGTGTTGAGTACGATGCTTGCTACCATTATATTTTTGTTTGGCACTACTTTGTGGAGTGGAGGGCTACATGTTTATAAGTGCAAAAAGGCAGAGCCTCCTTGTTCTCTGTGTTCAGCGAGAGCGGGCAGCGTGTCTACCAGTCAACTTAAAAGTAATGTCTCCAGTCTCTTATTTATCTCATAAGTGAGTTAACATCTACACAAAAGATGCGTTCAGACGGTGCAGATGATGGTGAAGTGTCCAGTGGCTCCCATGGGAGCGGTAGGAGATCCACTGCTGAAGAATCAACATGTTGCATTTAATGACATCATGTAATTTAGCGGGTCTGGTGCTCCCACAGCATGCCGATCAGAGCCGAGGCGATTTTTAACACGGCTGGCTTGCTGAATTGTTGCCGGTTTTAAATGGTTTTTACTGCCAGTGGGAAAGGGGCAGTTTTCCAACATGTCTTTCTCCAATGTGTCCTTGTGACATCATTTCCGTGCATATCAGAGACTACAAATACCTGAGAGCTCTACTCGAAGCAGGCGACATGTTGATTTGTTCGGCGCTGTTTAGTTTTTAGAAAACAGCTGTAGTCGTAATAGCACAGAATAAAAAACGTTCCATCATTTTCTACCATTTTTTTTGTTATTCTTGATATTTTTGGAGAGCTGTAGCCAGATTCTGTTGCCCAATGATCCATTCTGTTTGTCCTGTTTAAAAAATTCACTTTTCAATGACAATGTTGGCTTTACAACTGTGTTGTTTTATGTCACTGATAGTTTTGTAGGGCTAAAGTCTCTACATGTAACGGCTTAGGAGAGACAGCGGTTTGAAAATATGTGGGTTAGGATTCGCAGATGATTTTAGAAAACTCTCCCATTGCATGTGAGGGTATGAGGACTTAAATTGCTCTGGGGCTCAAAAGCTACAAATCCCAAACCAATGGGGGTGAAACTTCCTGCATCCAGACAAAAATTCCTGTTTTGATGTATAGTTTGCCTGGATTGAGTATAAATTGATTAAGAATAATTAGTTTGGCATGTGTAAAAGGTTACGCCAGAGAGGCAGACTGTAGCCCAGCTGTGCGACCAGCAGGAACGCGTTCCTCACTATCAGACTCACTGTATGGCCATGAGATATTATGCAATCAGCAGCTTGATGTAGACCGCCAGGGATGCAGAGCCACTTGCCTGAACACTGTCAATAAAAGAAGGATTTTATGCCATCCCAGGTGAGTCAATACCTGGATTTCTGGGAAATTAAAATTTTCATTGCATTGTAAAAATCAGGCTGTTAAACATACAAGTTGGCCAATATATACAGATATATTTATTGTTTGCTGTAACAGTGCGAACGAGGAAGATAATGTTAAACCAAGGTTGCTCTGAAAAAAAAGAGGTTCTGACAGCTCAGATATTTGACATTTACGTTAACACAGCAGACTGAAGTCACCCAATTCTGAGTTTTTTTACCCATATGTGATCTGGATCTGCTCTTTTCATGAAAGTCTGAACAACACAGATCTGATTCTTGCCAATGCGCTGCAGGCCACTTGGCTCTGTGGTCCTGAATTCGATACGCATCTGATCATTTCAAATGTGACCCGTGTCTGAACAGCCAGGTCGTTTTTAGCCGACCTATACCCCATTAACACTCAACAAAGGTCCTAATTCTGAGTCTCGCTATGCAGAAGCAGGGAGAAAAGCAACTATGGCAGAGTTCATGGTGTTCTGCAGTGTTTATTTTTGAAAAAAGCTTTAAAACTTTCATCTAAGTTTGCTCACGTATAAATCAGAGGTAATAACATTTACGATCACGGTTCCACTTGAAAATATTCTGTAATAAATTTGTATCAAACAAATATTTATTTTCTAATGAAATGGCTCCTAAAACCCTCTGGGCTTCAGAGGTTTAACAATTCTAAAGCTCAAAGGTACCAACCTATTTCGCCGTGCTTGGTGATGGGACTGGAGTGGATTTTAAGGATGTCCAGTCGAGCCTGTTCATTAGGCAGCTCAATGTCTAAAGAGAAGAAAAGCCTGAATGCTGAAAATGTAACAGACATAGAAATGTGAGACAAAGAGAAGAGGAGATGCTCACGAATTTTCCGATCCAGTCTACCAGGTCGCAGCAGGGCGGGGTCTAGGGTGTCTGGCCTGTTGGTGGCCATGATCATCTTGACTCTGTGGAGGGTGTCAAAGCCGTCCATCTGGTTCAGCAGCTGAATCAACAAATGACAGAGGTCATCATCTGCATAAAGCTACAATAATCACCATTTTAAATGAAAAACAGAAACATCCGTCTCTATGCTAAAAACATGTGGGCTCTAAATGGGTCAAATGATTCCAAACATCCTCAGGGCTTAAAGCAAATCATTAAAATAAATCAAACCCTGTTCCTGAACTTTCTTAGAGAAGGCTGGGGTTGTTAAAGGGGAGCTAAAGGGAAAGTTTGGCCATTCTTCTGTTAAATAAAGGATAGTCATTTATTCATTATCATAAAACTATTTGTACAGCAGTTCTATTTACAAATAGCAATGTATGCTGCTGATAATAAAGGGCTGGGTATTAGCAAAGACTTCAGAGTATACAGTGATACTGGGACACTGCAATGTACTGCCATATTCTAAGCACTTTGAAAAAATGTAAATTGCAGCTTGAAATAAAAGTTGTACCATGTTCCTAGATAGGATGGCTGAAATGCTCTTCCTCCATGTCCCATTTGTTAAACTTGGCCAGGTTTCGATTATAAAACAATTTACAATTATCTCCAAAACAGATATTTCTCAATTGTGAAATAAGAATTGCTGTGCAAATAATAATAATGTTCTTAAAAACAAGTTCTTCAGTTCACGCCCATCGCCCTATGCAGTTTCTGCAGGCTTTATAAATGTTGCTACTCTTGCTAATGTTTACAAGCAATTATTCACGGCCATCTTGGTTGCATCCTGTAACCAGTCACCCTGCAACCAGTAATCACATAACACCCCTTTCTGTGGAAGCAGAAACAATCAAGTTAAATTTTATATTTCATTGCTCTGGTGACCAGAACATATTTAACTGCATATTAGAAAGTACCTCCATCAGAGTTCTCTGGATCTCTCTGTCAGCAGAGGTTCCTTCAGAGAAACGTCGACCACCTACAGAACATGGAAGAACAACAATTATTCAACGGTACTTCATCGAATAGAGACAGAGTGAGATGAAAAACTTTAGAAGTCCTCTGAAGCATTCTGAAATCTACACAAGAACAGAAGCTTCTCCACTAAAATAAAGAGATCTAAAATTACAGAGGTAACTCTACAGAATAAACTACAAACTAAAATGGAGAGAAAAATGTCAGCAATTGTCATTTTAGACAGTGACATGAAAAATAACAATGTATTACAGAGTTCTATATTTTTTTCAGCTTTTTGTCATTTCCTGTCTGTCTGGATTACTGAGGACATTTCAGTGCCTCAGTAATCACAGGTCGTTAAACATCACAGGAGAACGTTGAGCTGGGTTTGCTTAGTCACAAACTTCACTGGTCAGACTCCCTAACAAACATGATGCTCTGGTGCCTCCCATCTTCCTCCTCTCTGGGTTTCCTGTCATTAAAGCGCGGTACCACCGCGGTTACTGAAGCAGACTATAGCATCTCAGCATCAGCAGGGATAAAGTGCCACTTCATTAAACTATTGTACTGATGAAGCGTTTCCATGGGAATTTGTTGGGAAATCCTTTAGCTGTGATGTTTTAAGAGCAGCTTGGTCAAAGCGCTACTGCAGCTCGGCTCGTCGCATTTTGTAAATTTTCTTTAAACCTTTTTTTTTTATCTACTTAAAAGGAAGGCACCTTTTATTTTTTGGGCAGAGTTTCGATGTGTCTTACACTGGGTGGCATACAAAGGGTGACAAGGGGCAATCAGGAATCGTATGGCTTGAAATTTATTCGACCCTCACCAGGACATTCTGAGAGTATCCTGCAATTGAAGCAGAGCCTGTGGAAACAAGGGAATAATTCTTCTTCTCTGAACTGACTTACAGCACCATCTCCCTACGTCTGATTTGCGGATCTTAGTTTTACAATGGGAGCAGTTAGTTTGCATCTGAACATAGGGTGATAGAGAGAAGGTGAGCCGTGAAAGCTGTGGCTTCATCGTACAGTTAGACCTCCAGCTGAGTGCAGCGATTGAACCTCATGGTCCATGAGAAGCTGATGAACCCAGCTATTGTGATGCCAGTGGTTTTGTTTTGCTTTCAAAAGTAAATAAAAGACCTACAGTTGCTCCATAGAATCCATGTCCTCCATATTTTCTAGGAAATTGTCTCTCAGTTTCTACTCTGCGGATCTGAGATCGGTCTGAAGGGCTTTAATTATCCTCCTCCCCCTTATTATGTCCCCTACCCTACATGCAACAGGGATTTGGACATCACTACCCGCACAGAAACAAGCAAAATGCAGGGATTGGGATTAACCAAGACATTCAAATTTGTAAAGAAGAACATGTTTCAGATCTGTGATGTCACCTCCAGGGCTTGTTGGATTGAGCTTTATTACTCACCGATGGCATCAATCTCATCCATAAAGATGATGCATGGCTGGTGGTCTCTGGCATAGTTGAACATCTCTCTAATGAGCCTTGCACTCTCACCGATGTACTTGTCCACAATGGAGCTAGACACGACCTGCAGGGGGCGCAAACATGTTGAAATGACAAAGAATGACGATTCACTGCAGGAAGAACTGACCCCCACCTTCAGAAAGTTACAGTCCAGCTGACTGGCCACCGCTCTGGCAAGAAGAGTCTTCCCTGTGCCTGTTTGACAATAAAACAGCCATCATTATCAAGACTCATTTATAAAACAGTCTATACCATACAGCGCAATGATTAATCCATCCAAGAGGATCCCTAATCCTACAGATTTTCCACCCAATAAATTAGGAAGTATGAGGAATGAATGTTTCTACCTGGAGGCCCATACAGCAGGCAACCTTTGGGGGGAATAATGCCAACTCTCTGGAAGAGTTCAGGGTTCGTCAGAGGAAGTTCAATCACCTGCCATTCAAAAATAAGAGTAAATGTGTGATTAGTCTATGAAACCACCCTTTGGCTCCTTATGCTATGTTCACACCTAAAGCAACGGGAGCAGCCAAAACGTGCGTGCTGCTTCATTTTTGATGATTGTACAAGTTTAGTTCTGTGTAAAAGTGGGTCTGATGCGCTTTGGGCGGGGCTACCCTATTCTTTCTTTGCCTGCAACAATGGCTGCTATATTTGCTGTGATCAGCGGGTAAAAGCTTGTGTTAATATGTTTTGAACTGAGAAGGTCCACCTAAAAAACGTAATCTATGCAGTCAGTTAATCCAGATTACCCTCCTGCATTCAAATATTATTTCGCCGTCAGAGCCGCTCCGTCCCCCACATACCGGCGGCGGGTCACTATGGGAAACCCATTCAACAGCAGCCTCTGGCCCGGTCGCCTCTTTGCGGTTGGCCGTGGCGGCTGGAAGGTGTTTTTCATGTACGTAATCCAAACTCCAGGAACCAGGATAATAAAAGCGAGCATGTTTTGCCGGCAGTTTAGGCATTAATCTGTTTCAGAGGAGTAATCATGGCGCTCTGCATCAGCAGTGTGTCTCCCTGCCAGCTCCTAGATCAGCTTCTCTGATTGGCAGTGATGGGAGTAACGGCATTGAAAGTAATGGGGTTACTAACGCCGCTACCTTTTTTTAGTAACGAGTAATCTAACTAATTACTCTGACTGTAACTATAACGCAGTTACCATTGCCGACACCCTGTTACTGCGCGTTACTCAGGTCGCACAATGAACCTTTTTATTGATAGGACTCTTGGGGGCCTTGTCATGAGAGAGGGTAGGATGGAGAGTGAGGAGGACTCCAGCAGCAAAACAGCTTTTTCTAGATGGAAATACTGGTGTTACGTCGAGCTGCGTTTCCCCGTCACATACGGTTTCCCCTGCATCTCCGCACAGCGCAGGCGGCATGATTCACCGTGCAAGCGACAGGAAACGCGCATGCTTGCTAAAGGCACGTAACAGCCGCCCTGTGCTCGCGCCACAGGAGAACTATGGAGGTGTGAAGGATCAAATGTTAGTCTTTGTGTACAAAGGGAGAGAAATATGGATGAATGGATGTTGCAGTATCTATAACAATCCAAACACACAGGCTTTCAGAATTAGACATCCCCAGTTATTCATTTCATACACTCACCAGATCTCCGCCCTGTTAAAAAACTTCACACCTATGAGTAGAGGTAATGCAGCCTGATGATATTTACAACGCATCAGATACCGTTCCCCCCATGTTAAGCAGGGGAACGCTATCTGACGGGGTTTATAGGCCCGTCAGATAGCGTTCCCCCCTGATGTCATTTACGTTGAGTGGCAATAAATGCTAAACTCTCTGCAGGTTCTTGTCTTTGTCGTCCGCTCCATTCAACTGGCTTTAGAAACACGGCGAGAAGGTGGGGGCTGGGTGGTGAGGGTTACAGGGGCGAGAAACGCAAAAGTAAAACAATAGTTACTTTTGCTAGTAACTAGTTACTTTTATTGTGGAGCAACTCAGTTACTTTTTGGGAGAAGTAACTAGTAACTATAATTACTTTTTCAAAGTAACGTGCCCAACAGTGTTGATTGGTTGATGTGGCGCGTCCAGCAGCAAAAGTTTAATATTTCCAACTGCTTTGGCAGCGCATCAGTTGCTCAGCTGCTCAAAACGCGCTGCGGGACGTTTTGCTGCGCCTTGATGCACGTCAACCGTTGATTTTGCAAGTAAATTAGCTGCCCCTGCTGCTTTAGGTCTGAACGTAGCATTACAGCTTCTTTTCAGTTTAAAGTAGTAATATAGAATTTCAAAACGCAATCCAGCAACAGTCTACAAAAAACCAATCAGCAGGGCACAGATTTTACCAAGGTGATTTTTATTTATTTTACCCAATGTTTGATTTTCTTAACACCTACCCTGTTGATCCTGGATAGCTGTCCTGGTTTATACCTTAGAAACAGAAGGACGGCTGCAACTAATGATTATGTCACCAATCGATTAGTTGCAGGAGAAATAAAGGAGAATTTTTACAGAATCAAACCAGGTGAAGCTATAATTTTCTGGGTAGAGAATATTGAAGGACAATTTCTTTTTTATTTTAAATACAAAATGATAATTTTCTATATTTTTTAAATATTGCTATAATTCATGCTCTAAATGGGTGGTTCTGTCAGTTAAAGGCCTGTTTTACAGTCTCTAAGCTCCAGCTAATTAATCGATTACTGAATTTTTGGATGATTATTTCAGTAATTGATTAATCCGATGAATTGTTTATGCCCTACTCTCGGTTAATCGTTAACTGGAGTAAAGAGACTAAATTGTGCTGACAGTGCGACAGAGCAGGAACTATACCAAGATTTTAAAGAAATGTATAAACATTTTTCATTTAAAGATAAAAAAAACATTTTTGTCCGTCAATATGCTCTATCCAGAACTCCTCAAGAAGAAAGGTTTTAAGTTTCACCTGATTTTATCTTTTCATTGCAACCGCCTGTTCACCAAGCAACCCCTCTACTATTAATGTCTTAAATCTGGATTTCAAGTTTTAATACCCCACAGTGATCGATAAGGAGAGAAAAATAAGAGGATTTATTTTTTTTCTGTGGCAGATCCTTTCAGACATCTTTTCATCTGCTTAAACTTCAGAGACAATTTTTTACAAAGAGTAAAATGTATATCCGATGCTCAGTCAGAGGTATCCTCTACCATCAAAGGGACATCAGAGCGGATGAAGGGAAGAGATGACAGAAAGCAGATCCCACCTCTCTCAGCTCCCGGATTTGTTCAGACAACCCTCCGATTTCAGAGTAGGAGACGCTGCCTGGATCCTCGTGGGACATGTTGTAGACTAGAGGATCCACTTCTCTGGGAAGGTACCTGACATGGTAGACCAATCCATTACAAAATGACAGAGGCAGTTAAAGGGAGGAAAAACATTACCTTCCAAATACATAAGATATCAAAGTCATTCTAAGACTGAACAATAATTATGGTAGAGACTTCATTGACAAAAGATAGTCAAAAAGCAGCAAAAACCCCTTACAGAAAATGATGAGTATATTAACACTAGAAATCCCACAGATACGAGAATTTTCGTCAGCCTCCAGTCCCCCTAACAGTACTCCACAACTCATGAATCCCTTCTCAGATGTAAATGACCCATTAGCGCTGTGGCTGGAGAAACATTCCACCCCTTCATTTTGGGTTTCAGCTAAAGGCCCCGTCCACACGAAGTCAAAACGAACACGAAAGCTAATATTTTCCAGAACGTTTGTCGTAAAGACGGAGACGTAAAATAAATGTGAGCGTCCACACGAATGCATGAAAACGCTGCAAAATGTATGCCAGGCCTGTAAGTGGCGCTGTGGTGCCAAAGCAAAAATAGGCGACGAAATGTTGGGCATGCACACTAATATTTATACATGGTTGCCCTGCGGGTCTATTTTCGTGGTTCAGTCAAATTCAGGTGCTGAACTATGTCGTGGATATTGCTCTGTTCTTCCTGGAGATATTCCAGAAGAAGAAGATTCTGTTGTAAGCCCAACAGCAGGGTGAGTAGCATGAGCAGCAACCATTCAACACAGTACGGCGCCATTGTTGTTGTGATACTGTGTCGCGCATGCGTGTTTAGAGGCGACGCTATGACTCATGCCTGTAAAAAAAAAAAAAAAATGCGGTTAGAGCTTAAAGATGCAAACGCGAAAACGGCGTTTCAAAATCTTCCCACTCTGAAGGCTGAATTAAAAAAAGATCGTTTACAGACCCCCGAAACGCCGGCTTCGTATGGATGAGAGGCTGGTTTGGTGAAAAATTTGTGCGTTTAGGCCAGGGTTTGACTTCGTGTGGACGGGGCCTAAGTCTCTCTGTTTTAGACTGGAGGGGTGGGGGGGAATTCATATTTGTAATTAAATAACTAGGTCTACGTCATCAATGTCGCCAACACTGCAATGATTTCAGCGCAGCCGCCAGCGCAGCGATCAGACGATAACTGATCTGTACAATGAAAATAGCTGCATGAGCAGGAACGCTGTAGAAGGCAACAATGTTTATACAATATTGACCATTTATGCAATAATGACCATTATTTATTTGCAATCTCTCCTCCTCTGCAGACAGCATCGTGAAACTGCAGTAAAGTTGGCAATATATGCACAGATTCGGCTTTTCCGGATAAATAACTCATCTGCAGATTATTTACTACTACACTAAGTGATGGAGCCGATCAAGGGAGCCCAGAGAAATCGGTCTGATGGGGATGCAGATGCTGTCCCAAGATAAATATGATCCAACAAAAGATCTTTAAACTGATTGATGCTGAGTTTATCCTTACTTTTCCAATTCATGAGGATAGTTTTCTTTGCGATACATAATGCAGTGAAAGCCATGAAAACTGTTTTTTTTTTTCCAGAGAGCTTCCCTCAAAGTCACCCAGCTAGCAAACTGAAGGGGAAAGTGAGATTTTACAACCTGTGGCACAGGCAGTGATAGGTCCTTACACACATGTACCCAGAACCTCTGAACCGGCGTGCATAACCATAACGCGTGAATATAATTATCAAGTTGATTTTACTTCTTACGGAGGATGACCTGCCCCCAAACCGTCTAGAACTGTAAATTTACAGTCATATGTTTATATATATATTTTTAAAACATGAGTGCCACTTGATATTAGAGCTAATAAACGGCAAATCTGAAATTATGATATTACTGCACATTTCCTGTTCTGTGTCTATCCAGGGCTCATCTAAGGGATTATGTTTTATCCATTTAGAGATGTATTGTAATCTATTTGCTAAGTAGTAGTGTTGGAAGTTAGGTAAATCTAGTCCCCCTGTCTTTAGTTTTCTGTCATGTCTTTAAGCTGATATGAGGGGGTTTGTCCTTCCAAAGAAATTTAGAGATAGAAGAATCTAGAGATGTAAACCAGTCAGATGATGGTTTATTTGGGGTCATTGAAAATAGGTAGTTAATTGTAGGTGAGACCATCATCTTAATTGAGGCTACCCTACCCATAAGGGAGATCGGAAGCAATTTCCATCTTTCTAGGTCCTCTTCTATTTTTTTTTTTTTTTTTTTTAAAGAGGGATGTGGTTGAGTTTTGGTAACTCAGCTAGTTTAGATGACACAGTAATTCCCAAATATTTGATATTTCCTGATTGCAATTGTAGACCTGAGGAAGCAATTAATGGGCACTACTATAGATTTAGACCAATTTATGGAGTAATCTGAGACTTTTGGGAAAGATTCTAGTAATCTACCGTATTTTCACGACTATAAGGCGCATATAAACGTCTTTTTCTCCCTCAAAATGTGCGGCGCGCTCTGTGTGTGTTGTTACTGCAGACGTTGAGAACGCCATGAGAACGTTAAAGGGGGAGGTGTGGGCGTGGATTGGCTGCCACGCAAATGGACAGAAACTGCCGCCTATGGGGATTTTAAAGAGAAAGACTTTGCCTAAAGAGACTTTTCCAGCTGGAGTCGTTATTAAGGCAAATGAAAAGGGCTGGATGGATGAGATGATGAAAGAGTGGCTGAGGCAGGTGTATGTAAGGAGACCAGGTGTTTTTTTCCACGCATCACCATCGCTGTTAATCTGTGACTCCATGCGTGCCCATCTCACAGCCGATGTGAAAAACATGGTGAAACAAATGAACACTGTGCTTGCCGTTATCCCGTCTAACAAAGGAACTTCACCGCTCGACATCGGTGTGAACCAGCCGTTCAAAGTAAGGCTGCGAGCGGCGTAGGAGTGATGGATGACAGACGGAGACCACAGTTTCACGAAAAGTAGAAGGCAGCAAGTTACACCACCGTTTGCAGATGGATTGTAGATGCTTGGGCTAACGTGTCTGCCGGCACTGTTGTTCGAGCTTTCGCAAAAGCCGGCATTATTTCTGAGGAGCCGCACGGCACGGAAAGTGACTCTGAAAGCGAAGAAGGGGAAATTGGCATGTCTGATTTAGCGCAGCTGTTTAATTCAGAAACAGAGGATGATGACTTTGATGGGTTTGATTAATACTTTGCAATAAATAAATGAATAAAGCACAATCATACTCAGTTTTGCCCCCGCTCTATTTTTAAATACGCAGTAGAGGTATTTAAACGTAGTACAGGACATGTACCGGTATATAAAACCCGCGCCCTATAGTCCGGTGCACCTTATGTGTGTGTTAAATATAGTAATGGCACACATACCTGAGACTGCGCCTTTTAGTACGGTGCGCCTTATGGTCATGAAAATACGGTAATCACTTGAGAGAGGCAAGTGTTTGAGTGCTGGAGATAAAGTAATACGTCATCTGCGTAAAGACTAATTTTATGCTCTATTTTCATGCCTTTTATACGTTTAATCACATTCGTTTGTCTGATTGTAGGAGCTAGAGGCTCAATAAAAATAGCAAAAAGTGAGGGGGAAAGCGGGCATCCCTGTCTGGTGCCCATCTGCAGACACAAGCTGGAAAATGTTTGATCATTTGTCCTGACACAGGCTGTTGGGAAGCTGTATAAGATTTTTAACCAATTTATAAAGGAATTGCCAAAACCAAAGTTATGTAGAGTAGCAAATAATAGTTTCCAGTTTACTCTATTGAATGCTTTTTCTGAGACTAAAGACAATATGTAGGATTTAAGAATTTTACTGTAGGAATAATTTATCAAATTAAGCAGTCTGCGTATGTTAGCAGCTGACTGCCTTCCTTTAATGAAACCAGTTTGATCTGGGTGGGTTACGAGAGGAGTGACTTTATCTAATCCTTTTGCTAAAGCTTTACAGATTATTTTAATATCCACATTAATTAAGGATATGGGACGATAGCTGGTCGGAAACATAGGATCTTTACCTGGCTTAAGCAGGAGACTAATGGTGGCAGAATTGGAAACTGGAAATTTGCCATTATCTTGAGTTTCCTGCAGCATTCTGTGGATTGTTGGGGCCAGAATGTTCCAGAACTCTTTATAGAACTCAGTAGGGAACCCGTCTGGACCTGGCGCTTTATTGTTTGGCATGCTTTGTAATGCTTCCTGAACTTCAGCTGATGGCAGCGGTGAGTCCAGGTTTAATCTTTGACTCTCTGATAATTAAGGAAATTTTATTTTATCCAGAAGTCGCTTGATATAATTATCTGATGGATTTAACTGTGATGTGTGTAAAGATTTAAAGAAATCTCTGAAGGCATTGTTAATACTCTCCGGATCCTGTAATGTATTACCAATTGAGTATGTACAATCTAACCAATTGATCTTTAGCTTCACTAAACTTTATAGTTTGATGGCTTGGATCAGACGTAGGGATTTGGTTTTTGTTTGACTAAAAATGAGCCAACCTGTTCTGGTTCAGGGCCCTAAAGGTGAAGGTTACCCTCTCTACATTAGGAAAATAATGAAATAATCTGATAAAAATCTAATAATCTGTGAAATATTCAGAGTTTTTGCTTTATAAGGGACCCCCAGTAAAAAGCAATCACCAAACGATGTCTTATACAGATAACAGGGATACAGATATATGGTCCAGTTTGAACACATCCCTGTGAGCACTACATGTCCCTGACACTGAGCCTACCTGATTATACCTACCTCATTATAGTGAGAGTCGTCATGTCCAAAGCCACTCTGGTTCCTGGCTTCAGCTGGGATTTGTCCAACTGGAAAGAGATTAAAGGAGTAATTTTTCAATCATGGTTCATTGAGCCTTCCACAGGATGTCTAGACCATCCCATTACCTTATTTAATGTCCTGGGTGGGACTGTTACATTTGGACCTACTTGCTAAGAAGTTTTTCACATGTTAAACTATCATCAATGGGATTAAAGGTTATTTTACCCAACTACTCACCTAATGTTATCTAAACTGATTAAAGATCTTACAGCCTCTACTGGAGAGCAGCCAACCTCTCTCCATCCACCATGATGAGGGGTTAAATTGGTCACATTTAGCATGACATAAATAGGACTAACATTAAGCTACGTTTAGACCGCAAGCAGCAGAGGCAGCTGGTTTAAATGCAAAGTCAATGGTTGACGTACATAAAGGCGCAGCAAAAGGTACCGCACGCTCATCTTGTTGCATCTGAGCATATATGTATCAGAACTGAAAAGAAAAATCTAGAAGCCTGTCAGTTGAAGAAAGGCAATAAAAAAAAAAAGGTCTGCCAGGACTTTATACAGATCGCATCCAGTAACACCATTTGTCTTTTTGTTCTTTAGAATTGCTGGGATTTAAATGAGAATGATCCATTCTGGTCAGAGCGTAGCGCCACAGGGCTAAGCTAAGCGTTCAGTACTCAATATAGCGGTGGTAATGCAGAAAGCTTAATGACGTCACGCTCTATAGACTCATGCTGAGTTCACGCTAAAGGCGTTATGACCGTCAAAAATACTGAAACGCAGAAATCTGGACTTAGGATCAAACTGTGGTCAGGTTGCTTTGATGATTCGGCGCTCTGGTTGTTTATCTGATCTGTTCTGTAGCTTCAAGCTATTGAGCAGCTTGGCTTTATCTGCTTTATGATGTGGAAATATAGTTTTAAAACGTTTTTAAGTGAGAAAGTCCACCTCCAAACACCCTCTGTTTATCAGGATTTTTATCCCACTAAAATCTGCAGTTCTTGTTGGGAGTGCCAGACCTCCAGCATATCGCTGGTGTTCTGTCAGATGACCATACCCCGTCAGACCAGCATACCTATAGTCAATACACATGCGCAAGACGTCAGATTTGCGTTTATCCCTTAAGTTTTGTAGGAAAAATAGTCACATACAAAAAAAAACAATTTAAGGTCAGATCACCATACACTTCAAAAAAACACCAAAAACTAATTAATTAAATTGTTTTTTAATTACTTAGGAATATTAAAGTTTATTTTTCTCTCTGCTGCAGCCAGCCTGTGGGGGATTTCCTGCTGCCGTTCATAACGGCTGGAAGCGAATAGCAAGATTTTAAAGTTTGTGCTAAAACCTGCAAGAAACAGAATATACAATCCAATACATTTCATCTGCAGATTTTTTAACTTTTCTAGTTAACTTTGGTATTCATAATCTGTTTCTCTGTAGTTCATAAAATATTTTGGTGCAGCATTAATGATCAGAGCTTCTCTCTGTTCCTTCTAGATAAAAATCCATTCAACCTGCATTTTTAACCTTTGGGGTTTAACTCCTAAATAATTTATTTTTCATATGCAGAGTGTTTGCAAAATCAATGGCAGCTTGCAGGGGTAGTGACCCCCAAAAAACTCCTGGATCAGCTTTTCTGATTGGTCGATGCCCCCGCGTCCAGAGGCAATAGTTACATTTTCTGAACTGGAACCCTCGCCGCTATCCCCTCTGCATGTAGAACAGACGCTTTGACGGCCAGAACACGCCTGGTCTGAACACACAGTTTGTTCTGAAAATCTAAGTAATTCAGTCCTTTTGTTTGGTCAAGACCAGAGTTTGCTTGGTCTATTCACATCTTAACTAAAGGACCAGACCAAAGGGGAAATCAACTCTGATCCATTTAAAGCTGACAAAGTTTGTCGGTTGTGAATACACCAAGTCAATCGTAACTCGACCTAGGCCCCGTCCACACGAAGTCAAAACGAACACGAAACGCTGATATTTTCCAAAACGTTTGCCGTAAAGACGGAGACGTAAAATAAATGTGAGCGTCCACACGAATGCATGAAAACGCTGCAAAATGTATGCCAGGCCTGTAAGTGGCGCTGTGGTGCCAAAGCAAAAATAAGCGACGAAATGTTGGGCATGCGCACTAATATTTATACATGGTTGCCCTGCGTGTCCATTTTCGTGGTTCAGTCAAATTCAGGTGCTGAACTATGTCGTCGATATTGCTCTGTTCTTCCTGGAGATATTCCAGAAGAAGAAGATTCTGTTGTAAGCCCGACAGCAGGGTGAGTAGCATTAGCAGCAACGGCGCCATTGTTGTTGTGATACTGTGTCGCGCATGCGTGTTTAGAGGCGACGCTATGACGCATGCGTGTAAAAGAAAATATGCGGTTAGAGCGTAAAGATGGAAACGCGAAAACGACGTTTCAGAATCTTCCCACTCTGAAGGCTGAATAAAAAAAAGATCGTTTACAGACCCCCGAAACGCCGGCTTCGTGTGGATGAGAGGCTGGTTTGGTGAAAAATTTGTGCGTTTAGGCCAGGGTTCGTCTTCGTGTGGACGGGGCCCTAGTCTGAAACTCCTGATATCTTCATATAAAATTTTCTTTGTGCTCTTACCTGTCTACGGCATCCAACCACATATCTGGGGCCATTGGTTGCCTTTACAATGACTAGTTAGAAGAGAAAAAACAACAACAACAAGAACAGTATTAGATGCCAAACTTCCTGTGTTCATGTAAAAGAGTCAGTTTCCACATTTATAACATCCATTTGCCGACAGTCTCATGTGCTCGTCAAACAGTCAGCCTCTGCCCTGTCCCATATCACAAGAACAGCAGACAGAAAACGGAATAACTACCCGGATGCTGTTCTTGGCCCTCCCTATTTACCCAGCATGCATCAGAGCAGACTTGTTCATTCTTGAGATTGACAGCTGTCCCAGCATGCACTGCAGCAGCTTCCAGGTTAGCGCTCACAGAGCGCTGAGTATTAGGTTAAAAGTTCTCCTTTCTGTTGTAGTTGTTCAATAAAAGTATGTTTTAAGAACATTTGAGTTCCATTTACTGATTTACTATTAAAAAAAAAAAAAAGTTCAGACGTTGAGAGGACCGCAGCAACCAGCGGAGCTCCGAGGCTAACCGCAGCCTGGGCTAACGTCAGCCCATCCACAGCAGCTCCCTCTCTGCATAGTCATGGATGAAGCACCGCTGGCTCTAATGGAGGTTTTTTGTTTTATTTGATAAAATGTTCATTGGATTTGAATTTATCTGTCAATCATTATTCCCCCACTAAATGAAAAAATATATGATCATAATTATTATTACTATCTCGAGCCTGGTGACATAACAAGTACACTTCTGTTCCAATTAACCCATATGTTTTTTCCCACTAAAAATTGCAAGTTAAGACGCGTCTTTCAAACATGGGTTGACCAGCTAACAAATGTCTCCCATCCCACTAGCGAAATTAAACTGGTCTAACCCCTAGCTGGCAGCTGCATGGCCTCCATCCCCTGCAACTACGTGTCTGGTGACACCATCACCATGGGTTACCTTTGATGTCACCAGTGCAACAGAAATCAGGAAAGTAAACAATGGAGACAACAATGGCAACAGGGAAGGAAGCCAGGTCGTAGTCAGTGTGCTTTATTTTTTCTATTATCTGTCTGAATCCCTCTCACCAGAGCTGCTCCACGTTTATCAAATATAAACTGATGTTTCAGCTTGTTAGATCAGAAGCGACTGGCACGGCATGTTGATGCCCGTACGTTGCATTCAATGGTTTCACCTAAAGTAGCAGGTCAACCAACTCAGCTCTAGAGTTCCCACAGCATGCCGATCAGAGGCGAGGTGATTTTAACATGGGTCGCTTGCCGAGTCGTTTCACCCGAGTAGGAAATTCAGGGAAACAGGCTGATAGATACATCGACCCTGAATTACTCAGGTATCAGCGTCAGTCTGATCATGAAACAATGTTTTAGTCATAAAAAGTGATATAGGCTATTTCAAAAATATTTTTAGTAAATGCTTGCAAAATGTCTCGTTAAGAGTAACTCCAACAGTTCATTTATAGTGTTGGAAGACACCAAACTTACATTTCTCCTCCGTAAGCTGCTTAAGCACCTCTCCAACAATCTGCAAGGAGGAAATATCATTGGTTGGAGAAAAGCACGATACAAACATGAAGCGCAGGACTTCATTTAGACAATTTAACCACATAGACGCACAGAAGCAAGGGAACCTCCAATAACAACAATACAAGTGAATAAATAACAGAACTTTCAAAAAATTCCTGAGTTTTTTTTTCCTTCAATTCATTCTCTAATATTGCAGCTGATGTTTGATGGTTCCCAATAAAGTAACAATTATAAACCAATTATTTTAAAAGTCTATGTATTCTGACTCACATGACAGACAGAGGAGCTCATTTAACACCTTTAGTGTGCAGCACACTTATCTGAACCTGGTTTATTCCAAACCCACAGCTGTGCACATCATCTTCTAAATCATCTTCATTAATGTAGAGACAGGGTTTGTTTATATTTAAGTATACCTATTCTAACAACAGAAGCAGTTTTACATTCACATGGCAACCATGGAAGTCCGAGTACCTAGATCAAGTGAAAAAAGAATACCTGGGTGAATAAAAGATCAGAATGTTATTAAGGCTTCAACAAACTATTATTTTATGAATGTTTTTGTTGATTTTGGGCAGAAACAATCAGATTAATCGATTATTGAAATAACGGTCAACTAAATAAGTAATCGATTGTTAACTGGAGCATAGAGACAATAAAACATGTCATTAGCTGACAAAGGAACCCACAGAGCAGGAGTTATACCAAAATTGCAAAATAAAAATAAAGTAAATATTTTGCATTTTAGATTTTAAAAAAAATTTTCGTCTCTCAAAACGCTCTATAACCCAGAACTCAAGTGGGAATGATTTAGATTTACATGGATTAGTTTTGTAAAAAGTCTTCTTTGAGGAACTCTTGGCTATAAATAGTCAAATCAATTGATTTTCAAAAAATAAGTTTCAGCTCTACTGATGATTTTTAATCAGGGAGCTGTGTATATGTGTATATATATATATATATATATATATATATTTGATTTTTCTTTTTGCAACAAGAGTTAAACTACATTTATCAAATAACTTAACCTGATAAGGTTTTCAAAACTGAGCGTTTAAAGGTGTCATAGAATGCAAACTGAGTTTCCATCGCCATAGATGAAAAACGATAGTTCAGTGGGTGAAATGGACGTGCAGAGAGGTTCTAACCCCATCTACATCTCCTTTCTCTGCAAATCTCACAATTCTAAACTTCCACCATAAAGCGTGTGAAACCAAACGAAGCCCCAAGTTTATGTAAACTCATGGATGTTGCCTTATGTGGTTCTGGCTAGAGACTGACACGGGAGTGGATTTTCACTCCTGTCCTGTCCCACTCCCACAGAAAAAAATAGTGTCCCGTCCCGATCCCGGGCCAGAGTAGAAATCGAAATCCTGTCCCGTCCCACTCCTGGTGAAATTACTCCCACTCCCATCCCGCTCCCATTCAGAATGACTCCCGCTCCTGCACCACTCCCATTCTTGTTGATTTTGAGCGTGGGTGAAAAACTCAGAGCGGAAGTTACTATTGGTTTGCTCCCGCTCCCGTCTGCTCCCGTTAATGTTTAATCCTGTACCGTCCCAATCCCGTGATTGTTACTAATACTGACTCCCATCCCACGGGAATCCCGTGACCCGTGGGATTCCCGAAAAAATGTCAGTCTCTAGTTCTGGCCTATACTTTTGTCACGCCTCAAAATTGACATCCAGACCAGCCCACTGGTTCACGGCCCCAGAACATGAATAGAAGTAGATGGAAGACACCAGTTTAGCTGTTTAGTCTACAGATGAGTTTACTTCTACAAGAATTACAACGCAGGCAGTTATTCTATTGAAAATGAGCCAGAACCACGGGCGTAAATGCAGCGTTCCAGGCTGCACGGAGAAAGGAGAACATTTTCAGTCTTCCCAAGGACCCAAAGACTCGACAGCCATGGATTATTTTTGTCTATCAGAAGATCCCAGCAAAGTTTGATGCTCAGCTGTTCATTTGCTCGAAGCATTTTACCGAAGACAGCTTTCTAAACCTTGGACAGTTCAAAGCAGGATTTGCTAAATTTCTTTTACTGAAACGAGGGGCTGTTCCCACCGTAAGGCCATCACAACCGCAAGCTGGAAGATTCTGTCATTGAGCTGTTATAAGGCAGGTGGGGGGAAGCACAGGGCCGCCGTGGATGTCTGGTCACCCTATCATACACTATATTGCCAAAAGTATTTGCTCACCCATCCAAATTATTGGAATCAGGTGTTCCAATCACTTCCATGGCCACAGGTGTATAAATTCAAGCACCTAGGCATGCAGACTGTCTTTACAAACATTTGTGAAAGAATGGGTCGCTCTCAGGAGCTCAGTGAATTCCAGCGTGGAACTGTGATAGGATGCCACCTGTGCAACAAATCCAGTCGTGAAATTTCCTCGCTCCTAAATATTCCACAGTCAACTGTCAGCTGTATTATAAGAAAATGGAAGTGTTTGGGAACGACAGCAACTCAGCCACGAAGTGGTAGGCCACGTAAACTGACGGAGCGGGGTCAGCGGATGCTGACGCGCATAGTGCGAAGAGGTCGCCAACTTTCTGCAGAGTCAATCACTACAGACCTCCAAACTTCATGTGGCCTTCAGATTAGCTCAAGAACAGTGCGCAGAGAGCTTCATGGAATGGGTTTCCATGGTCGAGCAGCTGCATCCAAGCCATACATCACCAAGTGCAATGCAAAGCGTCGGATGCGGTGGTGTAAAGCACGCCGCCACTGGACTCTAGAGCAGTGGAGACGCGTTCTCTGGAGTGACGAATCGCGCTTCTCCATCTGGCAATCTGATGGACGGGTCTGGGTTTGGCGGTTGCCAGGAGAACGGTACTTGTCTGACTGCATTGTGCCAAGTGTAAAGTTTGGTGGAGGGGGGATTATGGTGTGGGGTTGTTTTTCAGGAGCTGGGCTTGGCCCCTTAGTTCCAGTGAAAGGAACTCTGAATGCTTCAGCATACCAAGACATTTTGGACAATTCCATGCTCCCAACTTTGTGGGAACAGTTTGGAGCTGGCCCCTTCCTCTTCCAACATGACTGTGCACCAGTGCACAAAGCAAGGTCCATAAAGACATGGATGACAGAGTCTGGTGTGGATGAACTTGACTGGCCTGCACAGAGTCCTGACCTCAACCCGATAGAACACCTTTGGGATGAATTAGAGCGGAGACTGAGAGCCAGGCCTTCTCGTCCAACATCAGTGTGCGACCTCACAAATGCGCTTCTGGAAGAATGGTCAAAAATTCCCATAAACACACTCCTAAACCTTGTGGACAGCCTTCCCAGAAGAGTTGAAGCTGTTCTAGCTGCAAAGGGTGGACCGACGTCATATTGAACCCTATGGATTAGGAACGGGATGTCACTTAAGCTCATATGTGAGTCAAGGCAGGTGAGCAAATACTTTTGGCAATATAGTGTATCAACAATTTGATGTTTCAGTGAGTGAGTGCTTGTTGCTATGGTCTTTGCTCAGCAGCTTCGCTTGTTGTAAACCAACCAATCAGCGCACAGCTCATCTAAATATTCATGATCATACCATAAAAGGAAAAAACCTGTCGTTTCATTAACCAGGCAGCAAATATGCCATTTTCAGCCCAGCCAATGTTACACACCCTATTCAGAGACCTTAAAGACCAGATACCCTGTAGAATCATTCTATGAACCCTTTAAGAATTTCCCGGGATTAGACATCGACTGCCATTCATTGCGTATTTGTAACTTTTGTTTCTGTAGTGAAGCGTAAAATGCCCGGTTTTATGAAGCCACACAGAAAGATACATGAAACTTTCAATGTGGCAGATGTGAGAAAACACAATGACTTCCTTAAAGCATCAGCTGAAAACATGCAGGCTTTAATCTTACCTGACCAACACTTTGAAGGGCCTTCAGGTCATTCTCTGATTTTTCGTACTGCTTAGTTTGTTCCCTCAGCTGTTCTCTCACTAGTGATTAAATGAGAAGCAGACAGGACAGAAGACGTTTAACAAGTTGGATAAAAACCAGACTATATGCTCACCCTGTGTTAGTGGTCCATTTTAATCTGGACCATTTCATTATTATGTATAAACGGATAAAAGCAATGCTAAGAAACAAACATGCTGCTAAAGAGCTGATGGATTAGTGCTATCCGCTACTGCATTGTTGCTAAACAGAAAGAAGAAAACAGTAGTTTGGCTTTGAAGAGGAATTAAAGTAAAACGCATAACTGCATGACAAAGCAAAAGCTAGCCGCGAAGCTAACTGCTAGCAATTCAAAATATACATTCTGCCGGAAACAATTTACAAACTGTTCATCTTAAGAAATGGCGAGTTTCCTTTTAATTACATTCTTTCAATCGTCCGTCAATCTCTTTGTGTTCTAACAGTTTTTTCCTATAATCTTGTAACGCTTTATCTCTGAGATCCGCCATGACGCGCTACTATCCTTCTTCTTCTTTTCTATTCTTCTTCTTCTTCTTCTTCTTATTGAGTTTTATTGGCGGTTGGCAAAAAACGTTAGGTGAGCATTACCGCCACCAACTGGTATGGAGTGTGGACTACATGGCAAAAAAAAAAAAAAAAATTAAAACTATACCCTATTATACAACCTAATCTGTTTCAAAAATTCAAATATAACCTGATATCCTCTGCTTCCTGATTCCTTCTGCAATAAATCGACAATGTCAAGTTTCATTTTCATGTCACTAAGTTTCCTTATTAACCTGTTTCTCTGTATCGAATATTTACTACAATTTAAAATGACATGTTCCACAGTCTCATCTTCCCCACAGTCACATTTCCCTGTCTGATGTTTCCCTATCAAAAATAACGATCTATTCAATCCAGTGTGTCCTATTCTAAGTCGAGAAATAATAATCTCTTCTCTCCTGTTCCTTTCTGATCTTCTCATTGGTCCAATTCTCTTTTGTATTTTATAAAGCCACCTTCCTTTCTTTTCTTCATTCCATAACTTTTGCCACCTCTCTTTTGCTTTTTGTTTAATTATACCCTTTATTTCTGTTATACCAAAACTAACATTAATGTCTACCCTTAACTTATTGGTACTCTCCTTAGCCAACCTGTCTGCCCTTTCATTTCCTTTTATCTCGTTATGTGCCGGAACCCAAACAAAATTTACCACTAGCCCCATCATATTTATTCTGTAAAGTGTTTGTTGTATTTCAAGTAATATATCTGGTCTACTGACTGACTGATTATTTTGCAAACTGACTAATGACGAACTGGAATCTGAGCAAATGATAGATTTTAATGGTCTTACCTCTTCCACCCATTGAACTGCTAAAAGCAAAGCTAGCATTTCACCGGTATATACTGAAACTCCATCACTAATCCTTTTTCCAACATTAATATGAAACTGTGGTATAATAAATGCTATCCCTACCTTATTAGCAGTATTTTTTGATGCATCTGTATATATTTGTATATAATTATAATAGTTATTTAAGTGTTCTTGTACTATATATTTATTCATAATATGATATTTATCTTTTTCCTTCTTTTCTAATAATGAGAGATCAACTTTAGCATCAGGAAGTATCCAAGGTGGAATTGCTGTTATTGGAACTGTCTGACATATATCTAACTGATTTAATTTAATTTCATTAACTTTAGTGTTTATTACCCATCCAAAGCTCTTTAATTGTTTCTTTTCCTTTTCCCATCCAGGTTTAAGCACCTCTAATGTTGGATGATCCTTCCTTTGTCCCTGTAAATTTGACCAGTATGTTAAAGATAATTGATCTCTTCTAACTTTAAGTGGCATTTCTCCCATTTCAACCTGTAATGCTGCTGTTGAAGAAGTTCTAAAAGCGCCAGTACATATTCTTAAAGCCTGATGTTGAATGCTATTTAACTTATGGAGGTTTGTATCTGCTGCTGAGTTATAAACTATACATCCATAGTCAAGAACGGACCTGATTAACCCAGTATAAATAGCTTTTAATGATTTTCTATCAGCTCCCCACTCTGTTCCAACTAAACACCTCATTATATTTATTACCTTCCTACATTTATCGATTATATTCTTAATGTGCACACCCCATGTCATTCTTTCATCAAACCACATCCCGAGAAATTTAAATTGTTTAACTCTTTCCAAATCCTGACCATATAATTTTAAGTTAGTTTTTTCATCAACTCTTTTCCTTGTAAAAAACATTATTTTAGTTTTCTCTACTGAAAATTTAAAACCCCATTTATATGACCATTTTTCTACCACTGAAATTGCTTCCTGAAGTTTCTTTACAATAAATTCAAAATTTCTTCCTCTTTTCCACATTGCTCCATCATCTGCAAATAATGAGAATCCCATTCCACCCTCTATTTCTTTAAACATATCATTAACTATCACTGAAAATAATAACGGACTTACTATACTTCCCTGTGGTGTTCCATTTTCAATTTTCCAACTCTCAGAATAATCCTCCCCTATCCTCACTTGTATTCGTCGATCTTCTAGAAAATTTTTAATCCATCGAAACATATGACCATTTATACCCATTCTTCTAATTTTAATTAATAACCCTTCCCTCCACATCATGTCATATGCTCTCTCAATGTCAAAAAATACTGCCACAACACTTTCTTTATTCACCTGTGCCTTTCTAATTTCATGCTCTAAACACAAAACTGGATCCATTGTACCTCTACCTCTTCTAAAACCACTCTGATAAGATGATATAAGTCCCTTCTTTTCAATATAATATATTAATCTTTCATTTATCATTCTCTCCATTATTTTACATAAGTTGGATGTTAACGCTATTGGCCGATAATTTCCTGGTTTTGATTCATCTTTCCCTGGTTTTCTGATTGGAACAATCACGGCCTCCTTCCAACTCTTTGGCAATTCCCCATCTTCCCATATCCTATTATACATTTCTAATAAAATATTTTTAGAAGATTCACTTAAGTTGCTAATCATAACATAATAAATTTGATCTTTTCCTGGAGCTGATAATTTATATTTTTTAAAAGCCCTATTCAGTTCTGTTATTGTAAACAACATGTTTAACGGTTCATTTGTATCTTCTATTTGCTGTAATAAATACTTGTTCTCCAAAATAGTCTTTTCTCTCCCTTTTTTCCCTTCTTGACTAATATTTTCAGAACTATGAATTTTAACAAAAGTATTTACCAACATTTTTGCCTTTTCTCTGTCAGTAACTGCTGTTATTTCTCCTTCATTTAATATTGGATATCCACTCGTTCTTTTAATCCCATTCATCCTTTTAATTGTTGCCCACACCTTAGAAATATCTGTCTCCCTCCCTACTGAATTACAGAAACTCCTCCAATAATCTCTTTTTGCATTTTTAATAATTCTTCTTACATTTGCTTGTAATTTCTTGTAGTTGGTCAGATTTTGAAAATTGTGATTTCTTTTTAATAATTTGAAAGCTTTATTTCGTTTCTTGATAATCTCCTTACATTCTGATGTCCACCAGGGCACCAACCTTCTTTCCCTTCCCCCACCTTTCTTCCTTATAGCCTGATTAGCAGCTTCTAAGATAGCATTACATATAGAAACATTTATTTCATCAATACTACTACTCATATCCACTTTTAACATTTTCATTTCACTACTATTCCTAAAGGTTTTCCAATCTGTTGACCTAAAACACCATTTCTTTATCCCTTTTATACAATACCTTTCTATATTTAACTTTATTTCAATCAAAATAGGATAATGATCACTTCCTATAGTTGTTTTATTGATTACTTGCCATAAACAAACACCTGCTATAGAATTTGAAACTAATGTTAAATCAATTGCTGACTCTGTATTATCTCTAAAATTGATTCTAGTTCCACTTCCATTCTTTTCTATTATGGTGGATCGGAAGCAACTTTAAGGTGTATACCGCCACCTACTGTACATGAGTGTGTCTTCTTCTTCTTCTTCTTGAACGAGTGTCCTTTCTGCGGTGTGGCTGCAGAAAGGACACTCATTAGGCTCCACGTGAACATGTCAGCACCTACTGGTAGAAAGCAGAACTACAGCTAGTAATAAAATCTGTGATTTTTATTATGTTATATTGTTTTTTCCCATTTTAAGTTTCTTTGAAATTGTTAATTGTTAGTGTGTATGATAAAATCTTTTGTAATTTGGTTAAGAGTAAAAATTTCTTAGAACAATCATTTAAGGTGCACAGTTTTTCTGCCATTTTAGTGAACTAAACTCAACTCAACTCGCAGACAGTGAAAGTGTTTGTGAAAATTGGGAAATGATGAGCTAAATAAAAGGTGTTAGTAATTTTTATTCAAACATAGTAGTTTTACAACAGTTTTGGGTTTTAATCGGGTTGGAAGTTCTGTTTAACCAATCTTTTGGCTAAACCGACCTTATTCTGCAGCGTTTTACCCAATCTATATTTTTACCAGGATAAACCAATGCAAATTAGTCTCATCAGCCAAAATAATTTAGTGTAATCTTAACTTTCAAAAGTCAAAAGGCAGGTCTTGAACCATCAACCTCTAGACTGATAGCCTGTGTCTTACAGAAAAATTGGCTCTGTTTGAATTCATGGGCTGCATCCTCCAAGGACACGGTCTACCTAGACTGGATCCTTCCAAGTCCGAGAAAATAAAGAGATAGGAAGAGTTTTGGCTGTGAATTCAAACAGGTCTACCCTTCGGCGGGTTTTACCGCCGTAGGTTATGTTGCTTAGAAACCGTGACCGTGACACATAAAGCAGGAAAAGAATGAAAACTGAAGTTTTGAAAAAAAACTGTTTGTTTATTTATTTCTGTTTTATTGAATGGAATAAAGGTTCCAACCACCGGGAGCAGGAACAAATAAAATCAAATGTAATGATAGAAACCTTAGTCAGTTAAATAACCTGCTGCTGTCATTCTGCACATCTCTGATGTTGCTGCTATTTTCAAATAACCATTACTGTAAAAATGTCCATAGATGGATATTGGTTATTTATTCTCTAGGTGAGCAGTTTTATATTGTTAAAACACTTTACAGTATTTTATTGTTTATATTTTCACTCGTCCCTTTTAATGTTATTCTTATACATTTTTCTAAGGTCTTCATTTGTGTGACCATTTTCAGTAATCTTTCTGCTGCTGTAAATTTGCCCATTGTGGGACAATAAAGAGATTTTCTATTCTATAAAAGGGGTAGAAATATATAAGTAAATTTAAACAATGTATGTTACCTCTTAATACTGACGTGTTAACACTAACTGTGTCCGGTGGCTTGCTCAGATTTTAAACAACACATTGTTTATTCTCACCAAAATAGTTTTAAACAACTACATTGGTTGAAAAAAAACAACCAATCTATTCTTAGAAGCTATCCAAACTCTTTCCAGCTGACAGCAGCTCTCCTCCAATCTCCCACATCTGGCTGCGTTGTCTGAACCACTTCCCGAAGCGGTCACGTGGTATCACGGTTGCGAGGCCTCGGACGTCGTCAGTTTTGGCCCCTCTCCTAAATGAATCACGCCTCGACACACGCTTCGGGGAAACGCCCACTCCATTACTCGACAGACGCCTCGGCTCATCTCATAACATCACTAGTTTTTAGTCTTTTTGGGATGGTTTTTACGAGCGCTGCTTTTATAGAGCCAAAGGCCCAACTTTAATTTTTTTGAAACAGTGAATCAAAGATGGTCGTTTATTGTCCTGCAGAGACTGCAGCAGGGAGCTCACCTAGATGCCGCGGCTCTGTGGAAGTGCAACGATTAAGCCAGAACTGGAGTTTCACTTCCACAGAGCCACACACAGCATGGAGGATTTTATACAGTTGTGGGGTTTTAACAACCTTTTATGTACTGTGTCAGATGATGGAGATCTTCATTTTAAGAAGCTCATCATTGAATGATTTTAACTGACACTTGTTTTGATCTCAATAGTGATTTTTAACTCACACTTGTTTTACGTCAATTGTTTATATGTTTGAATTGTGTAAATAAAGTTTTGTGCCTACGGGGAGCAGATGCTCTCGGTTCCAATGTTCCAATCTGGTTCTAAAATGAGAACCAATCAGAGCGCCCGGTCTCCATATCAACCAATCAGGTACCGGAGCGTTCGTCAGGCTTCGTCAAATCAGAGGCTTCCTCTGGTTCCGAAATCGAAATCAGACCTGTGTCGCGCCAATCAGATGGCTTCGGTAGTTCCAATCTGAGAAGGCCTTTCGGCTGCGCTCGTTCTTTATCGGAAACTGGTTGTTTTTAGCTTGTTATCAGCAGCAGCGGTAACTAATAAAAGCTGTCCGCTTTTATTGCGCATGGTAATAAGGATCCGATCGGTAAACTGACCTGATCGCAGGGCATGAATTATAAAAGAAATGATGGGGTTGTAATTCCAAATCATTTTAAATGATGTTTTAAGAGTGAATAAATTTAGTTATAAATAAAGGTGTAAATTTAGGTATAATTAAACATTTCTGTAATCAGAGTAGTTTAACAGCATTGTACCTTTTACTTTCAGTGAAGTTAAAATAAAATGAAATTGTACTCCTGTTATTTAGATTAGAATAGATTAAAATAGATTCGAATAGAATAGAATAGAAAAGAATAGAAAAGAAAATCCTGTTATTGTCCAATGGGGAAATTCTGGTGTTTACAGCAGAAAAAAAACATTATTTACTTTCAGTGAAGTTAAATAATATGAAATTGTACTCCTGTTATTTAGAATAGAATAGAAAAGAAAATGATGTTATTGTCCAATGGGGAAATTCTGGTGTTTACAGCAGAAAAAAAACATTATTTACTTTCAGTGAAGTTAAATAATATGAAATTGTACTCCTGTTATTTAGAATAGAATAGAAAAGAAAATCCTGTTATTGTCCAATGTGGAAATCCTGGTGTTTACAGCAGAAAAAAACATTATTTAAAAAAGGAGTGTGTAAAATAACATAATAGTGAAGTTTAAAAAAAATAAAATTAAATCCTGTACTGTAAAGTGTTTTAATGATATCAAACTGTGCACCTGGAGAATAAATAACCAATATCCAGCTATGGGCATTTTTACAGTAATAGATATTTGAAAATAGCAGCATCATCAGAGAAGTGCAAAATGACAGCAGCATGTTATTTAACTGACTGAAGGTAGAAACTGTGAAAAAGGAGGTTGTTAGGAACAGTGATGGTCCTATAGTTTTATAGCTGCCTAGTTCAAATGCTTTGGTACTCTACCCACCTCTGGTTAAATAAAATCTCATCCCTATAGTTTCTGTCACAAAGTTTGATTTTGTTGCTGATCAGTTTTCCTGTCTTTTTTTTCTCCAGATTAACATTGTTCAACAGTTTAAATGGCTGTAAGTAAATCTTTATTGCTATGATGCTCTGAGAACTGAAATGACTGCTGTATTAATGCATCTATAATTCTATTTCCCATATTGTGAATGTTTGAATGTAATATTTTTAGTCAGAGCATCCTAAATTCAGGAGGTTCCCCAGCGGGAGCCTCATCCTGAAGGCCACCACTGCTGCCCTGGCTCTGGGGTCCCAGAACGCAGCCCAGAGGGGGGCCCTGAGGGCCAAACCCGCCGAGGAGGTGGAGGTGGAGGCACGGGCCCGTGTCGTCCAAGAGGGTGGGGACGTCCTCAACGCCACCCTCGTCCTCAGCCGGTGGACACTGCAGTTCGGCAAGTATGTATTTAATTCACTTTTTAATTTATCTGTTTTCCCTTTGGGATGATTAAAGTAGTTATGATTTGAATAGAGGTACGCCGGACAAACGTTCCACTGGCTGCTGGAGAACGACGTGGGCTACGCCGTCCTCCTGGTGGACTCCCACAAGAAGGAGCGTGAGAGGATGAGGATGAGGAGCTGGTCCAGGCTGCTGGTGACATGGAGGAATGTAAGTAATGAGCATCTAATTTATCAGACTTTTGTTTACAAAAAAGTTATGACTGATGCTGATAGTTTTCTCCCATTTTATTTCACAAATGATAAAATAAACCAGATGAACCTGAAGTGAAACAGTAAGTTGGAGTCAATAAATAATTTGCTTTTGGCAATTAGCTGTAGCTCACTCATCACTAACTGGGCCGGTGCTTTTCACCCGTAGATTCCTCATCATGGCACCCGTTTCTTCTTCTTGTTTTCACCCAATCACACTCCTTCCCTGTCTTATCCTTTGTAGCCATTAATCATTACTAGCATCCTGCTGCTGCTTCTGCTGCTTCTTTTTGTGCTTACTGTGGGAGCTGCAGATGGAACTTGTGTTTTACTAAGACGTGTGTTTTGTTCAACATCAGATGAACAGGCGGGTCCTTCCACCGCCTCTCTACCTCAGAGGGTGTCCCCTGCTGGACAGGGGGAACCCACCGACGAGGAGCTGCTGGAGGCCACGCAGGAGCAGGGAGAACCTCTGCAGCCGCAGGATCCTCCAGAGCCACCCTCCACGCAGGAGACCCCGTCCAGACGAGACCCTGTACCCCCTGCTGCTGAGGTGTGTGTTGGAAACTTTTATCGTCGTTTCATCAGAAACTACAGCCAGACCGCCCTTCCATTAACTTCTCTGACCTCTGTCAAACGCATCTGTCAGTGGACTCCTGAGGCTCAAGCTGCGTTTGATAAATTAAAGTCCTTGTTTTCCAGAGCACCTGTGCTTATGCAACCTGACCCAGCGAAGCAGTTTATTCTCGAGGTGGATGCTTCAGATTCAGGTGTTGGAGCAGTCCTATCCCAGAGACTTGATTCAGAACAAAAGATCCACCCTTGTGCATTCTTCTCCTGTAGACTTTCTTCCGCAGAGCAAAATTACGATGTGGGTGACCGAGAGCTTCTGGCCATCAAACTGGCGTTGGAGGAATGGAGACATTGGCTGGAGGGAGCTGAGCATCCGGTTCTTGTATGGACTGACCACAAGAACCTGGCTTACATCCAGTCAACCAAGCAAGCTAATCCCCGCCAATCCAGGTGGTCAATTTTCTTCTCTCGGTTTAATCTCATCATCTCCTACAGACCCGGATCCAAGAATGTCAAACCCGATTCTCTCTCACGTCTCTACTCCGTCGATCATCCCGAGACGTCCGAACCTGTTCCTGCACAGTGGGGGTGGTCAACTGGGAAATAACTGACCTCATCAACTCAGCCCTGGCCACTGAACCCGATCCAGGTAACGGTCCCACTAACCGAACCTATGTTCCATCTTCCGTCAGGTCCCGTCTCATCCATTGGATGCATGCCGCCAAGTTCTTTGCTCATCCAGGAGTCAGCAGAACAGTAGCCCTTATCTCAAGACGCTTCTGGTGGCCCACCCTCCATAGGGACGTCAAGGAGTATGTGTTGGCTTGCCCCACATGTGCCCGTAATAAAGCCTCACACCAACCTCCTTCTGGTCTGCTTCAGCCGCTTCCTGTTCCCTCGCGTCCTTGGTCCCATATCGCCATTGATTTCGTCACCGGTCTCCCCATCTCTCGAGGTATGTCCACCATATTCACCATTGTAGACCGTTTCTCGAAGTCCTGCCATCTTGTTCCCCTTAGAAAACTTCCCACGGCCTTCCAGACAGCCCAGCTCCTCATCAAGCATGTTTTCCGTTTACATGGCATTCCCCAAGAGATCCTCTCGGACCGGGGTCCTCAGTTCATTTCCCAGGTCTGGAAGGCTTTCTGTTCTGCTCTCGGCTGCAAACCCTCTCTCACCTCTGGTTACCATCCCCAATCTAATGGTCAGACTGAGAGGATGAACCAGCAGTTGGAATCAACCCTTCGTTGCCTCACATCGAACAACCCCGTGGACTGGAGCCAATTTCTCCCCTGGATCGAATACGCACACAACTCCCTCAGATCTGCATCCACTGGTCAATCCCCGTTTCAGGTTAGTCTCGGCTATCAACCTCCACTTTTCCCCGCAGACGAGAGAGAGATTTCGGTCCAGTCCGTTAACCAGCACATCCGCCGTTGCCAGAAAATCTGGAGGGAAACCATCGCCACCCTCAACCAGTCCTCTCAGTCAATCAAACGCTTCGCCGACTCCAGGAGACGTCCCGCCCCCGAGTACACTGTGGGCCAGGAGGTATGGCTATCCACTCGAGACACCCCCCTCAAGGGGATCATTCTGGCATCAGTGGATGCTCAGCGAGGTTCGCCCTGCCACCGCCCTTGCCAGCTGTACCGTCCCCGGCCTGGCTCCTCACCGTTTACGGTTATGATGTGGCGGTGCGGCTGGAGGAGTACAAGGCCCGCATAACGTCCACCTTCGGGTCCATCCTGAAGATGGATTCGACTAAGAAGGTATTAGAAGGTTCAGTCGGCCGACCGTAGAGGTGTCTACACATCGCTTGCTTTCTTTTTCTGCCGCTTACACAAACGCATCTCTATCCAGGTGACGAAGAAGCTCGCCGGTGCCGCCGCCGACACAGCCGCCTGGGTTACAAATGTGGGTAACGAGCATGGCCAGGTCCTCATGAGCGTCCTCACCTGCTCTGAGGGGTCCGAGGGCCTGAGCTCCATGGCGGCTGGACTGATGCGGCGGTACCGAGACGCAGAGGTACCTCCCCCGCAGCTCATGTAAGTCGACCGGGACTGCTGCAGCAGAGACGGCGTGTCGAAGACAGCTGCCTTGTTTCATGTGAGAGTTGAGATGATTGAAGCTTTTAATATTCCTGCAGCCTCTTCATCTAACTCACCCTGATTTCTGTCGGGTAGGAGTGGGGGAACCTCGTGGTCCGTCTGGACATCTGGCACTACATGCGACGTATCGCATGTGGTGTCACGACGGAGAGCCACGAGCTATACCCCACCTTCATGAGGCAGCTGTCTCATTGCATCTTCGAGGTGGACCCTGAAGATGCCCGCCGTCTCACCGACGCCAAGCGGTCGGAGCTGGGGAGGGAGCACAGGATGTTCGACCTGAGCGACACCGAGGTGATCCAGAGGATCTCCAAGGAGGAGCGGAGATTGCACTGTCGCCCCAGGACGCGTGGGGCAGAGCAAACCACTATCCTCATCCAGAACCTCCTGGACACCTTCCGCGGACCTGCAGGGAGAAACACCCTGAACATCCCGCTGCTGGACGATCTCCGCATCCAGGACATCTGGAACACGCAGATGCGCCACCTCAGCTGCATCCAGGACCCGCCCGGCGTGCAGCTTTACACCCAGACTGGGACGCTGACTAAGGGTGGAGTTCGACTCCCCATGTATCGCTGTGCCAGGGGTTCCACCTCCCTGGAATCGTTCCACCTCCACCTGAACCGTTTCATCCCAGGTAACTGCAGCTCTTTATAGACAAGTCTATGTTTCTGTTTCATAAATGTGAATCCAGTTTGCTCTGATCCACCTGTTTCCTCAGGGACGTCTGCGAGTGCCAGATACTTTCAGGTGTTCCTGGTAGATGGAGTGGTGAGGTGGAACGAGGATCGAGCAGCTGCTGCAGCGCCGGCGAGGGCGGCTGAGGTTTAGGTGCGTCTGCATTCCTACAGTGGCCACCTCAAACACGCCCTCAACCAGAAGTGCCACAGGTTGCGTGGACACGATCTGGTTGAGGATTTCACCAAGCCCGCTGCGTACACAGGTAACCAGCAGAACGTAATGAGAGAGAGTTGTTTTTTTTTTGTTTCCTTTTTTTTTTTTACTGGCTCACCGTTCCTCACAGGGGAGCTCATCGGGGTGGAGTACCTGTTCCAGCAGACGGGCAGCGTGTTTGAGGATATAAGTGAGGATCCTGACACTCCGGATGAGACGGCTGCTGTCTCCACCGTTGAGGAAGAGGATGAGGGGAAACAGGTGGATGAGGAGGACCCCACCATCTTCCCACCAGACTCCCCCTCTTTCTCCTCTACAGCAGCCTCTCAGTCAGGAGCAACCAGGTCTGAGCCACGCCCATCCTCTCCTGGAAGCCAGGCTCACTCTCCTCCTCCTCAGGAACCCTCCTCAGACTCTGAGGTGAACACCACAACACACGCCTAATACGACTTTTCAAAGCCATCTGATTATCTTAGTTAAAAAAAGTTTTCGTTAGGTGGTTGACTTTTTGCTGTGGTTTGCTTTTAGGACGAGGTCAAAGGTCCTGATGGCCAGCCGGGATATCAGCACGTCCTGAAGCTGGCCCAGGCCTTGGTGGAGGTGAGGAGCCTGAACGGGCTCAGCGAGTCCAGGATAGACTGCCTCATTGCGCTCTGGCAGCGCCTGCCGGGGCCAGACAAGGAGAGACTGGTCTATCCTTCCATGTACCAGGGGAGGAAAGTCAAGGGGTGCTTCAAGCCAGCAAAGGGGAAAACCGTCCCCCATCCTGGCAGGCAAAGCCTCCAGCGGTTAGTTGGACACTTAGAAGCTTCTTTTATTCCCTCGATGTCTGCTATTTTGTTTAAATTTTCTAAACACTTTGCTTTCCCGGTTTTGCAGCTGCATTCTTGGAGTCAATTCGGGCCCCGCAAACTGGCCGGACACCAGCCGCCTGGTGGAGGCCATTTGCAGCCAGCTCTGTCGGCTGCATCCTGCAGCCACCCGTATCAGGGGGAACATGAGGAGCAGATGGTCCCTCATCCACGGTGACTACGTGGCGATACGGGAGACAGTGCTGGCATGCCCGAGACTGATGGCTCAGACCACCATGTAGCTCTTTGAGCTCAACCAAAGGACCATCTCCCAGTGGTGAGTGCCGTTTGACTGACAAAGTATTTTCACACGCGGGACACGTCCTCGGGCTCTGACGTCAGTCTGTGTTTGCTTCTGCAGGTTCAACCAGCGACAGAAGCAGTGGGAGAAGTCCATGCTGGAGCAGGGAGTTGGCCCTGTCCCGGCTCCAGCTGCTGCAGAAGGCCCACTGCTTCCATCAAAGGAGCTGTCCTTGGTGCTGGTGGGAGCGCTACAGCCCTTTGACTTTCAGCTCGCTGAGGAGCAGCCAGGGCCATCCAGCAGGAGTCTCCCTCCTGCTCCACCACCTCCACTAGCTCCACTTCCTCTGGCTCCCCGTCTGCCTGTGCTGCCCAACCTTGCGCCCCTCCCCTCTGCTCCACATCCACCCCCTCCTCCTCCTGTTGTGCCCAAAACAACACTTTACAGGAGGAGGAAATTGGCGGAGGCTGGGGAGGGGCCACCGAGACAAAACAAGGTGTACCTCTGCAGCAAGTGCGGGCAGCCAAAAAGACTGGACACCGGACACACCAGGGTGGGTGGTGTTTCTTACTGCGCCACAATTGGGGGTAAGAGCGTGGAGGAGTGGAAAAAAGAGTTCAAAAAATTATTTTTTCAAAAGGACCCCCCCCCCCCAAAAAAAAGAAAAAAAAAAGACATTTAATATCACATGTAAATAGTTTGTAGTTCATTTTATAGTGTTTCTTGTTATTGTGTTCCTTTGCAGGTTTTATTCTTAAATTGTTCATATCCATTGTTTATCTATAGCTCCAGTTCAACAACTTGTTTCATGGAGGAAACTCAATTCAGTCTGATTACAGGCAGGTGATACTCATCACCACTCAGTCACCATCAAACCAGAGGTTCTTCCATCAGCCTATTTTGGTAATGCTTGGTTACTGCAGCGACAAGTGGCTGTGGGCATCTAACTTCAGGACTCATCAGGCCTGCTGCAAAACAGAGCAGGTAAAGCAAAACAGAACACTCCTGCACTTTATTCTGTTTCATTTCATGGCTGTTTGTGTATTTAATGGCTATCTTTGGGACGCAAAATCAGTGGTCTTGTAAATAACTTGAAAGCACTTGCTGCAGCTTTGTGTAATACATGTGTTATGAACATTCCTGCACTTTATTCTTTTTCATTTCATGGCTGCTTGTTTATTTAATTGCTATCTTTGGGATGCAAAATCAGTGGTGTTGTAAATAACTTGAAAGCACTGCTGCAGCTTTGTTTAATACATGTGTTATGAACATTCCTGCACTTTATTCTTTTTCATTTCATGGCTGCTTGTTTATTTAATGGCTATCTTTGGGATGCAAAATCAGTGGTGTTGTAAATAACTTGAAAGCACTGCTGCACCTTTGTGTAATGCATGTGTTATGAATACTCCTGCACTTTGTTCTGTTTCATTTCATGGCTGTCTTTTGGATGCAAAGTTCTGTTGTGAATTACTGCTGCCAGTTTGTTTAATAAACGTCTTCTTTCTATGTATTTCACCACATCTATGCTTTATTTTAATATATATTTTTAATCAGCAAAAGACTGGAAGGTGATGGTTTGCCTTTGTCAGATGGACAGAGGAGCGTTTTTGCATCACTTTTGGCTCCTTTGCCGCCACCTGGTGGCGGGTAAGGGGAAGAACGGGATGCAAACGTCCCTCTCCCCCTCCCCTTTGCACAGAGAAGAACGACCTGCAGCCTTCAAAAACATCTGCTCAAATCTACTTTATATTGTTAGTTTTCAGCTCTAGGTGATTGCCAGAAAAGATCATGGCTGTATCATTAATGGTTTGTCTGTTACAACTCCAGAGGCCAAAATGGCTTTATCTCACTGTGAAAAGAGCATTTTGGCCTCAACTTCTGATTTGAAGCTTGGAACCAAAAACATCTGCTCAAATCTACTTTATATTGTTAGTTTTCAGCTCTAGATGATTGCCAGAAAAGATCATGGCTGTATCATTAATGGTTTGTCTGTTACAACTCCAGAGGCCAAAATGGCTTTATCTCACTGTGAAAAGAGCATTTTGGCCTCAACTTCTGATTTGAAGCTTGGAACCAAAAACATCTGCTCAAATCTACTTTATATTGTTAGTTTTCAGCTCTAGGTGATTGCCAGAAAAGATCATGGCTGTATCATTAACGGTTTGTCTGTTACAACTCCACAGGCCAAAATGGCTTTATTTCA